TGTATGTCCATCACATGAAATCCAAATAAAAATCAATTTAAATTACAGGTTGTAATGCAACAAAATAGGAAAACGCCAAGGGGGGATGAATACTTTTGCATGGCACTGTATGGCTATTGAATAATATCCTTTATTTGTAAAGTGCATTTCATACAGTGACAACTTTTTTAATATAATAAAGAATGTGTATAAAAACAATGAAACATAATAAATTATAAAAGCAGCATAGAATAATAAAAATGAATACAAACACATAGGAATAAGATGTTAAAAATGAAGACAAAAGCTAGCCAGACTAATTACATGCCAAACTAAAGAGGTTGAATCTTAACCTTGCTTGTAAAAAAATGTATACTGTTTTTGCCTCCCTCCTTTTTATATGATGTGGTACAGCATTCCAGTTTTGGGTTGTAAAAGCTAAAAGCTGCTTCCCCACTTGACAGTAATATGTGTACGAAATTCCAGCAAAATCAGGAAAATATTTAGGAAATTGCCTTTGAGCACTCTATTAATGGTTCATAGAATAATCTGCTATTTAGTTTTGATGTCAGAAACTATAGACATTACTGACTCATAGCCTGCATTGTTCAAGGGCACTCAAGTTTTTTTAAATGATGCTGGGACACAACAGGACACTTGACATTCATGAGAGCAACCTGGAACCCACCTCCTTCCTATTGTCTCTTCCCAACCCACAGTCATTCCAGTCGGGATTTTGGCGCCACTCCAGCCATGATAACCAAACTGAAACATGTCCAACCTTATAACAACAAACTAAAGGATAGGCTAGGTAGCTACCAGGCAGTGATTCATAGCTAGTTGAGACTGGTAATTGTGAAATATCAACGTGAAGGGTACAGTTAATCCCAAAGCAAGCCTTTAAGAGTTTAAAGACTGATACTCACTCATCAGGCAATTATGGAGGGAGCTAACAAACTCGTGTAATCTATGATTCACCGAGAATAAAAATGAAAAGTATAAATTACTCATTATTTTGTTATTATTCATTCATGTATGTAGGCCGTCATTGTAAATAAGAATTTGTTCTTAACTGACTTGCTTAGTTAAATAAAGTAAAAAATAAAAAAATAAAAAGTATAATAATGATTGATCCCACTTAAAATGAAAAATGACTAAGGCATAATGAAGCCTTCACCTTTCATAAGGCCTATATAGATGCTTCAGAAATCATTCATAAGCAATTGTCTATAGTTACAGTGGCTTGCGAAATAATTCACCCCCCTTGGCATTTTACCTATTTTGTTGCCTTACAACCTAGAATGAAAATGGAATTTTTTTTTTTTGGGGGGGGGGGGGTTGTATCATTTGATTTACACAACATGCTTGCCACTTTGAAGATGGAAAAACATGTTTTATTGTGAAACAAACAAGAAATAAGACAAAAAAACAGAACTTGAGCGTGCATAACTATTCACCCACCCAAAGTCAATAGTATGTAGCGCCACCTTTTGCAGCAATTACAGCTGCAAGTCTCTTGGGGTATGTCTCTATAAGCTTGGCACATCTAGCCACTGGGATATTTGGCCATTCTTCAAGGCAAAACTGCTCCAGCTCCTTCAAGTTGGATGGGTTCCGCTGGTGTACAGCAATCTTTAAGTCATACCACAGATTCTCAATTGGATTGAGGTCTGGGCTTTGACTAGGCCATTCCAAGACATTTAAATGTTTCCCCTTAAACCACTCGAGTGTTGCTTTAGCAGTATGCTTAGGGTCATTGTCCTGCTGGAAGGTGAACCTCCGTCCCAGTCTCAAATCTCTGGAAGACAGAAACAGGTTTCCCTCAAGAAATGTCCCTGTATTTAGCGCCATCCATCATTTCTTTCAATTCTGACCAGTTTCCCAGTCCCTGCCGATGAAAAACATCCCCACAGCATGATGCTGCCACCACCATGCTTCACTGTGGGGATGGTGTTCTCGGGGTGATGAGAGGTTTTGGGTTTGCGCCAGACATAGCGTTTTCCTTGATGGCCAAAAAGCTCAATTTTAGTCTCATCTGACCAGAGTACCTTCTTCCATATGTTTTGGGAGTCTCCAACATGGCTTTTGGCGAACACCAAACGTGTTTGCTTATTTTTTTCTTTAAGCAATGGCTTTTTTCTGGCCACTCTTCCTTAAAGCCCAGCTCTGTGGAGTGTACGGCTTAAAGTGGTCCTATGGACAGATACTCCAATCTCCGCTTTGCAGCTCCTTCAGGGTTATCTTTGGTCTCTTTGTTGCCTCTGATTAATGCCCTCCTTGCCTGGTCCGTGGGTTTTGGTGGGCGGCCCTCTCTTGGCAGGTTTATTGTGGTGCCATATTCTTTCAGTTTTTTAATAATGGATTTAATGGTGCTCCGTGGGATGTTCAAAGTTTCTGATATTTTTTTATAACCTAACCCCAATCTGTACTTCTCCACAACTTTGTCCCTGACCTGTTTGGAGAGCTCCTTGGTCTTCAGGGTGCCGCTTGCTTGGTGGTGCCCCTTGCTTAGTGGTGTTGCAGACTCTGGGGCCTTTCAGAACAGGTGTGTGTGTGTGTGTGTGTATGTATGTATGTATGTATGTATGTATGTATGTATGTATGTATGTATGTATGTATGTATGTATGTATGTATGTATGTATGTATGTATGTATGTATGTATGTGTATATATATATGTGTGTGTGTGTGTGTGTGTGTGTGTGTGTGTGTGTATATATATATATATATATGTATGTATGTATGTGTATATATATATATATATACTGAGATCATGTGACACTTAGATTGCACACAGGTGGACTTTTTAAAACTAATTATGTGACTTCTGAAGGTAATTGATTGCACCAGATCTTATTTAGGGGCTTCATATCAAAGGGGGTGAATACATATGCACGCAGCACTTTTCCGTTATTTATTTGTTAGAATATTTTGAAAGAAGTTTTCCCATTTCACTTCACCAATTTGGACTATTTTGTGTATGTCCATTACATGAAATCCAAATAAAAATCCATTTAAATTACAGGTTGTAATGCAACAAATAGGAAAAACGCCAAGGGGGCTGAATACCTTTTTTTTTCTTTTTTTTTACTTTTGCAAGGTACTGTATAAAAGGGTGACAAAAGGCTTGTGCCACTGTCATATTTGGCAAATCACCAGAATGACCTTTTATATCACTCATATGACTTTGCTTAGGTCTTCTATGTGATTTGTGAAATATGTATGTAGTGCTTATGAAGACTTTCTGAATGCTCTATAAACCCTTTAAGTCATTGTTCGTTTAAAATGACAGGCCAACATTTTATACAGTAGCACATGGGGATTTGTGAAACTCACTCATCAGCCTGAAGTGTCCCCACATGCACTGCTGAATAGCTAGCTTTTCGGTGGCGCGACTAGGTAAGATGCTTCAGGAAGGCAGTCAAGTGTTTGCGTGGCAGAGGGCCTGGGTTCGAGCCTTTTATATGAACCGAATCAGGAGGAAGCGGTACTCGCTAAGCAAGCAGCGTGACATCCTTTACAATGGTGCCGTGACCCGCATCAGCAGTTGCGCTCTGCTTAACACTGGGGTCGCTGTGGAGTAAATTGGGGGGTACTTACTCTGCAACCTGAAGTGTCTTGCGCCGCTGAATAGCTAGCTTTTTGGTGGCAGGACCGAGTTTGGGAAACCCTGCTTTACACCTACAAATTAGGTATTTCAAAATATATTGTTTTAAACAGCATGTAATTTAGTAGCTATCATTTAAAAACATGCATACAAATCAGGTTTCTGGGTTTTAACATTACAACGTTTAGGCTCAGCATGTGTTTCAAGTTCTATGTTAACTTTGACCTAAACTAGGTTAATGTTTTGTTTTCTCTTTATTGTAGTTGCTAGGAGTACTGTACAATGTATCTTTACAAAATTGCTTAGCTACAATGGGCAGAATCGATTATGCTCAGTCGCGGGCCACGGTGCTGTGGCCTGTGACTTGAACACGCAAAAGCGGTGAGGGAGGAGCACCCTTCTCAAATCGAACAGTAATCTCAGCCATGTTGTTAACAAGGCAGCATGGTGCATCTTCCAGAAACATACATTTATTTTCTTTAACTATTTGGAAAATTGAAACATATTTTTCATTGGGAAGGCAGATAAAACGTTTTTATCAAAAGTAATCACTTTTGCATGTGAAAACACAGAATCCTACTCATTACTCCACGTGCTCCGACGTCACTTTTGTTTTGAGCCGACTTAGCCGTGGGCTTTGAACAGGGCAACTGGCTTCCGCCAGGGAGGCAGCCTGGCTCCAAAACGAATGCAATCAACTTTCACCCGGTGCAAAACACGCATGTCCGGGCCAGATTAATCGAATCACTTGTATTGGTCGTCCGTCTGGCCCTGGCTCAGTCTTGTAGGCGGTGTTGGTTTTCGACATACTTTCTCTTTTTACCAATACTTTTCAGGGTAGCCATATTTCTGAAAAATTGGCAACCAATGAGGGGATTCTATTAATCTGGCCCGTGCCATTTTGCACCGGGTGGAAATTGATAGCATTCGTTTTGGAAACGGGCTGACTCCCGGGCGTGAGCCAGGTGCCCTGTTAAATAATAAATAAATAATATGCCATTTAGCAGACGCTTTTATCCAAAGCGACTTACAGTCATGCGTGCATACATTTTTGTGTATGGGTGGTCCCGGGGATCGAACCCACTACCTTGGCGTTACAAGCGCCGTGCTCTACCAGCTGAGCTACAGAGGACCACAAAACAGTCTGTTAAAAACAAAAGTCACATAATTAAGCACGTGGAGTAATGAGTACGATTGTGTTTTCCAAAGTGATTGCTTTTGATAAAAACGCTTTATATGCCTTCCCAATTAAAACTAGTTTGAAAATGCAAACGTGTGTATGTTTTTTTTCTTCTTCTTCCCGTCACGTCACGGTCCATAGAGCGGTGCCCCGCGGTTCAGTATAATCGAATCCACCCATTGTTACGTTTATCGAGAGGAAATAATTGACCAATTATATTAGAGTGGGCGGGATTATGGCTGGGGATATTCCACTGCATAGTTTCTCGTTCCTCCCAGTTCGATCGGCAACGGGAGAGAGGAAAGTTGAGAGCCCGAAGGCAGCAGCCCCCACCACCGCCGGCCCAGGTTACCATCTAGCACCGGGAAATACACTAGAGAGCCACCGCCGGCATTACCAACCAGAAACCATGAGCAGCGAGGCCGAGACACAACAACCGCCGGAGCCTGCTGTGGATGCGGAGCGCCCATCCAGCCCGCCAGCTACAGCTTCCGCGGGGGATAAGAAGGTCATCGGTAACGTTAAGCTAGCTAGCGTTAGCCAAGTGGAACACTATTGAATGCAAAATTTGATTTTATTGGCACGGTAACGTTACTTCCAAACATGAATTAAACTAGTTACGCTTGTTTTATTAAAAAGTGATGTCTAAATAATTTTAGGTAATTAGGTTGGCTAACATGAAATTGTTAACTAAAACGAAGTTTAGCTTCTCATCAAATGTTAACGTTAACTAACGTTCCAATTCAATGTCAGTTGGTCTGTTTTTCTACTTCCTAAATGACCTAGCTAATGTTAGCGAAATTCGTTAGTTAGATACCTAACTATAGCCAGTCCGTAGTCTGACCATACAGCTGTGAGGCAAGTTCCGAGGCAATGAATACTGGAATGAATGTGGGTTGGCACATGGAAATTGTACTGTAGCTAACTACGTTAAGTTAGCATTGCCTCCTTATCCGCGGTCTCGGGCATCTACGATCTAATAGTGATTTAGCCAACAGCAGCTAGCCTTTCTGCTAAATGGCCTGAAATAGTTGATTTTGGCCTTGGTCATGACCGATTACCGGATCCCGAAACGCATACTGGTTACACATGAAGTAACAGATCCCATTACATGGGTCGCTACTATACAACAGGCGTACGTGTATTTTACGCAATTCCCCTTTCTAAAGCAATTGTAGCCCTTTTTAGGGAGTTGGAACAAACCATTAATTGGAGGCCAACGACTGCACTGCAGAGCCACGATTGCAATCGTATCCCTTTGTTTGCGGAGATGCACATACTAACTAGATGGTTAGCTTTCTTGATAGCCTTCGTGCTAACTAAGATAACTAGCTAATACATTGCTAACGTTCAATAACTAGTTATGTAATGATTCAATCACATCCCCAAAATTATTATTTTGTGTTAACTAAGTTGTAGATGGCGTAGCTAGCTAGACAACTAACTAGCTTCCCATTCTGTCGAGAGGATAGTGGCAAACAAAATGTCCGCTTCGATGTTCGGATTGTACGAATTTCTTTTGTTCAGTGTTGGCTGGCAATTTAATTGTTATCGCGTGTAAAACCTTACCCATCACTCTCATATAAAATACTCACTCGGTGCCCATGGGTATTTATTTGAAGTGTTGAATGACAAGTTTTAGCATCCTGGCCTGTATCCAACCACATGGTTGAGACCGAAGACAATCCGCTAACGGTATCTAATAGCTAAATTAGCTACAGTAGCTAGCTTTGCTTGCTTGCTATTTCGCTAGCTAGCATCTTAGGGCGCGACACCACGTGTAAAGATCCAAGCACTTCCTTGTGCGCATTGAAACTGGGGTAATGGTTTTGCATCTCTAGTTCCGGACAGTAAATTATTAGGCGCCCAGGTTACACATTATATTAGGCTGCCTCCAGGCCCAGGCACTCTGATCAGATGTTTACATGGTGTATGCCACATTGAACGTCTAGACTAGTACCGGTAACTCTGGCCTCCATAAGACCCTCATCACGTAGGACGGTCATTATTGCAATCTAATAATATGCGTTGGACCATGCCATAGCAGCTGGCAGAAAAACACCAAGGGTTTAGCGTCGGAATCTATAAAAAGCTCAACAGTTGGGGGTTAATTATAACTTGCTTCCCCCGTATCTTTTCCGATCCAGGTTCGTGTCTGTAGTCTTTCATTATCAGTCTTGCCATTTGATTGCCCACTTGAAGTGCTCTTGACCATTTCCCCCGTTTGATGAGTAATATTTTAATGAGGAAGAAACTGGCACGGTACATCTTTGCAGTACTATTTATTATAGTTGATGGTGCCCTGTTAGACACGTTTTTTATTAGATAACCCGCCTACATTTAGTCTTTATTTTTTATTTTTCAGCAACTAAGGTCTTGGGTACAGTCAAGTGGTTCAACGTCAGAAATGGCTACGGTTTCATCAACAGGTAAGTAGTTCCCTCTCCTGGGCTTGACCTAAAACCTCTAATATGATGTGTGTGTGAAGGAACATTCCCAATCCTATTATGGCTTTGATTTGCTTACAAAGCTGGGAAGCAGATTTGGCTGTCCACGGCATGGCCTTGTTGTCCTGTAAAGACTTAATGAATTCACAATTAAGCCAGTTGGTTCTGTTAAGCTGTTAGCCTCAATTATAAAATACATACTTTTTTAATGCACTGATTTTTATTGGCCTAAATGTAAGTAATCCCTTTCTCCCTTCTACCACAAGGAATGACACAAAAGAAGACGTCTTTGTCCACCAGGTAACAAACTCCCAAATTCTCCAAGGATTGAGTAATGTATTATGTAACTTTTAAATATTTTCCACGAATCAAAGTTGGATTGTAGTTGGCACCTCAAAGACAAAAGTTTATAATGAAATGTTTTTATTGTATTTTTTTTTAGACTGCCATAAAGAAAAACAACCCAAAGAAATACCTACGCAGTGTTGGAGATGGAGAAACTGTGGAGTTTGATGTGGTTGAGGGGGAGAAGGTAGTTGCAACTTTGATTTACAGGAGAGCCAATTTTGCAGACTCATATACGTCATTTAATATGCCTTAATGTTTTTGGGAATATTTAAAGCTGCAATATGTGAGTTATAGATCTGTAATTCTCATTGAAAGCAAGTCTAAGTGGTAGAACGGTTCTATGTGCCTCCGCTATGTGTAGTTTTACTTACTTCCGGTTTTGTACACCAGCTGAAAATACAATAGTTATGGAAAATTATATTTCAGTGGTTTAGTTGGTACAATGATTCTCTACACAATACTTGCTTGTTTTGGCGCATAAACAGAAACTATTCAAACTACTTGAATTTAGGCAACCAGGAAATGGTGGTGCAATTTCTGCATAGTGCACCTTTTAAGGCAATCAAATTTATTCTAACCTCGCATACCTCCTCAAAGTTATGATAAACAGTGATTCTAATGTGCCCGGTTGGTTTTGACTAGTCAACAATGTTAATGCAAAATAACTAAAATAACCTAGTAAATAATTTAGTGGGTGCTTATATTTGTCTTATTAAGTAATGTGTGTTTTGCATATCCCAACTCTCCCTGAGACACCCTCGACGAGTGGGGTATGCCATTATCAATTGCTTAGAGCAATTAGGATTAAGTGCATTGCGCAAGGGCACATTGACAGATTTGTTACTTTATTGGCTCGGGTATTCGAACTAGCAACCTTTCGGTTACTGGTCGAACGCTCTTTGACCGCTAGGCTACGAGCCGCCCTAAACTTTATACTCCAGAAGGGTAGTGTGTGCCCCAATGATCTGAACAGTGTGTTTGTATCTCTTTTCAGGGAGCAGAAGCAGCTAATGTGACCGGCCCAGCGGGTGTCCCAGTCCAGGGGAGCAAGTATGCAGCTGACCGGAACCGCTACAGGCGGTACCCCCGCAGGAGGGGCCCGGCCCGTGACGGCGAATACCCAGACAACTACCAGAGTGACGGCGAGGGTGAAGGAGAGCGCCCCCCCCGCAAGAGCCGCGAGTGTGCTGAGAGTGCCCCAGAGGGAGAGATGCAGCCCCAGCAGCGCAGGCCCCCCTTCCCCGGGAGACGGCGCTACCCCCCATACTTTGTACGTAGACGCTACGGCCGTCGGCCCCCGTACACCAACGCACCTCGCGGAGAGATGACTGAGGTACGCTGTCACAGGCACTCCTGAAGCAGTCCGGCCCAGTTCCAGTGATGTCATACACACTCTCATCGAACACTCGTGCCACACTTGGTTTTGGCCGGACAAAACCAAACCTCAACTGTATTGGTCAACAGACTAATACAGGTTCACCAAAATAGGTCTATATACTGACAGGACCTAAAGTTGGCTCCAAACCACTGGTCAACAGACTACAATTAGACCTTGAGCGTTTGGTCAAAAGACCAATACAAGTTGACCCAAATAGACCTATCAGTCACAAAAACCCCAAAGTGTTACACCTGCTGTTGGTCTCCACACGCGCAGAGACTACAATATAATATAGGTGCTGGTGATTCTTTCTATCCACATAATAGGTAGAATCTACCGCACACCAAGACCAAACTGGAAAAAATGCAAAACTGGAAAAACAGGAAAGTGTCTCTTCACAGATGCTAATTAATTTAATAGTAGCTAAGCAGTAAACCTTCATCAGAGCATATCTTTTCCTGTTTTTTCACATTCTTTCTATCCAAAAAGTGAGTTTCATACCTGGATCTAGATTGAGTCAGGATGTTGTGAGCCTTGAGTGATTTATGACTGTGACTAACTTGTTTGTTTTTAGGGTGGCGAAGGTGACGAGAACCAGGGAGGTCCAGACCAGGGCAACAAACCAATGAGACAGAACTACTACAGAGGCTTCCGACCAAGGTTCGCATGTTGTGTTGATTGACACGAGGCTGCAAGAAGGGGTTATAACCTCAATGTGTATGGACCCAGAACTTAATCGAGCAGCTGACCTATTAATACATTTACATTTGTCATTTAGCAGATGCTCTTATCCAGAGCGACTTACAGTTAGTGAGTGCATACATTTTCTTATTTTTCATACTGGCCCCCCATGGGAATCGAACCAACAACCCTGGTGTTGCAAATGCCATGCTCTACCAACTGAGCTACATCCCTGTTATGCCAGGTTGTAGTTCTGGGTTAACTGAGATTATCCCTATAGTTATTATTGATGGAAGTATTATGAAATGGCGAATGTACTATGATCTTAAATAATTCCAGAACCAAACAATCTATGTAAATATCAATGCTGTTGAAATGATGAGTTTCTCATGTCTCTTCTCTGACAGAATTATAATGGAGAGAGCATAAACACCTCTGATCTCAGCATGTTAATAGTTCACATCTATTTGCCCCTCAACAACCCTGTTTAATTTGAGTAATATGGCCCATGCCTTAGATTATTCGTGTTTCCGTTTTGGGTGTGTTATGGCTTGTCAAACCTGTGTAAAATGTTATGGCACTGCCTTTATCTCTGCCAGTATGCCTCAATTATTAACTTGTATGGGGGCATGGTGAACACACACACTTGTTTTATAAGCTTAAATGCATGCTGCACTGCTAGCCCATGGACAATTCTTAGCTCGTTTCAACCAGAGACTTGTGTATATGGCAGACTTGACAGAAGCCCATTCAAGAAACATAAGGGACATGGTGCACTGGATGCTTGGGCCATGTAAGACACAACCTCCCCTAAGCCTATTCGAAGGCTAGGCGGTTCAATCACCATGATTGCTTTTAGACACCACCCGATTCCTTAATCTGCAAACACCAGGGTTGGGGGAAAATTCAATTTCAATTCAAACTACAATTCTGAGAACATTGGAGTTGGAATTTCAGTTTAATTCCTGAATTGAAATGGAGTGGGGATAGGCACGGTTAATCGAATATCCGGATAGCCAAACGGACATTAGTATATGATTACCTGAGGGAGTGTAAAAGAAAGAGGGGGGGGGGGGGGGGGCTATTTTTAACAATTAAAAGCTTAGTCTAAATTAGATTTGAACATCATTCTAAAATATTGGCCATTAATATGGAGTTGGTCCCCTCCACCCATGTTGCTGTAACAGCCGCCACTCTTCTGGGAAGGCTTTCCACTTGATGTTGGAACATTGCTGCGGGGACTTGCTTCCATTCAGCCACAAGCATTAGTGAGGTTGGGCACTGATATTAGGCCTGGCTCGCAGTCGCGTTCCAATTAATCCTGAAGGTGTTCGATAGGGTTGAGGTCAGGGCTCTATGCAAGCCAGTCAAGTTCTTCCACACCAATCTCTACAAAATATTTCTGTATGGACCTCGCTTTGTGCATGGGGGAATTGTCATGCAGAAACCGTAAAGGGCCTTCCCAAAACTATTGCCACAAAGTTGGAAGCACAGAATAATCTAGAATGTCATTGTATGTTGTAGCGTTAAGATTTCCCTTCACTGGAACTAAGGGGCCTAGCCCGAACTGTAAAAAAACAGCCCCAGACCATTATTTATCCTCCACCAAACTTTACAGTTGGCGCTATGTATTTGGGCAGGTAGCGTTCTCCTGGCATCCGCCAAACCCAGATTCGTCTGTCGGACTGCCAGATGGTGAAGCGTGATTCATCACTCCAGAGTCCCATTGCGGCGAGCTTTACACCACTCCAGCCTACACTTGGCATTGAGCATGGCTGCCCATTTCATGAAGCTCCCGACGAACAGTTCTTGTGCTGACGTTGCTTCCAGAGGCAGTTTGGAACTCTGTAGTGAGTGTTGCAACAGAGGACAGACTATTTTTACTCGCTTCTGCGGTCCTGTTCTGCGAGCTTGTGGCCTACCACTTTGGCTGAGCCATTGTTGGTCCTAGATGTTTCCACTTCACTATAACATCACTTACAGTTTACCGGGGCAGCTCTAGCAGGGCAGAAATTTGACCAGCTGATTTGTTGGAAAGGTGGCATCCTATGACTGCCACATTGAAAGTCAGTGAGCTCTTCAGTAAGGCCATTCTACTGCCAATGTTTGTCTATGGAGATTGCATACACCTGTCAGCAACGGGTGTGGCTAAATCCACTAATTTGAAGAAGTGTCCACATACTTTTGTGTGTGGCCGACCGTCTCGATTCAGTCTTATGTAGCAAAATTTGAACTGCTGTTTTTTTATTTTTTTTTATACATTGGATGAAGGTAGAGACTGAGCTAGAAAATGGTATATCATACACTGCAGTTGAGAAACAATGGGAAAGTAATTCTGCTTTGAAAGTTGATAAACATGTAACCCCACTTTTGAGAAAATGGTTCTATCTGAAAAAAGTCATTATTAGAAAAAATAACATTTCAAATTCCCATCCCTAAAATTGAATTCACTGTCATATTCTGAAGTTGTATGGGTGCTAGGGGTCATCTTGAGATGAGGCAGATGTTAAAGTGTGCGTCCTGTCGTCCCTTGACTTCTACAGCAGGGGTGGCGGTCCACCCCGTCCCAGACCGGTGCGGGACGGCGATGGGGAAAACAAGGAGAACCAGGATGGTGACGGTGAGAACCAGGAGCCCCGCCAGCGCCGCTACCGCCGAAACTTCAACTATCGCCGCAGACGCCCCCAGACTGGCGGCAAGCCCCAGGATGGCAAGGAGGCCAAGACCGACGGCGAACCATCTACAGAGAAAACGCCCGCTCCCGCGGCTGAGCAGGGCGGGGCTGAGTAGAAACTACCGGCATACCATCTCTACCATCGTCCGGGTGAGTCCCCAACACACACTGCTGCTCAGCGCTTATCAAATCTGCATACCTGATTTCTGGAATATGGTTTTTAAAAACCCTAGGCAGCAAACATGCTGGATTGAATTTCAATGCAGTCAAGCTTAGTTTTTGTTCAATATAGCACTGCAGTATTATTCATGATAAGTTAATTAGCTGTAGTCATTCACAGCACTGCTGCTCAATATACAATCTACATTTCCCGGCCACATTTTGACCACAGGCCACATTAAATCTGCTTGCGGGCTGCATCTGGCCCGCCGGCCGCCTGTTTGAGACCCCCCCCCCCCCATTCACGATGTATCGGTGGAAAAGTCCATATCAGGTGGCCATTGGTGTAGTGTCCTGGGCCAGTTCACTCACATTTCTAAAGCCAGCCTCCGTGTGCACTTTCCATTGACGCTGTGCTCCATCGCCCAAGGCAGGGGCAGAATGAGGTAATGCAATGGATTTGATAAAGCAAACTGGCTCCCTGATTAGTCCTGCCATTGTGCCTGTGCCAGTTGGTGCTAGCTCCAACCTCTGTGCCCCCGTCTATTGTGATGCTGCTGCACATTCATATCAGTTGACTGATGCAGTAAAGGGATTTGACCGGTAATGTATTTTTTTTTTAACCATCTCCCTCTTTTCTCTCTACAGTAATGTCATCAAGAAGAAACAAAGATCTGAGCAATAAGAAACAGATTTGACTTGACGATCGTCTTAAGCTTGCACCATGCATTTGACCAGATGACCACCGATTGCCTGCAGAATCTATGCAGACCTGTTTTGTTCCATTATTTTTACGTGACAGCTATAAAAAAAAAAGTTTTGGAGAAACAGCAGACGTTTTTCTAAATCGGTCCTAAGTTTTTACACCAAATGGTTTTTAAAATAAGTAATTTGATATCTGGTCAGTTTGACATTTTTAGATAACTTTTTATGTATTCAAACATGAATTTTAACAAAACGCAAGCTCAAATAAAAGTCAAAGGAGAACTGTTGCCTCAACTGTTTGTTTTGCCTGAATAAATGGGACCGCCATGGTATTGACATAACATGGCGGCTGTATTACACCACATTGTTTTACCAATGGTCTGCTCCTTCCAAATACATGAAGCACTTCATAACTACAGAATATACCACTCCTGGACTTGTTGGGTATATAATATTTTAGTTACAATGTATACAAGTTTGAATATTCATTTATTTGGCACTCACAGGCATGATACAATTCTCTTAACATTGATGAGGAAGGCATTACTGACATGTTGTCCCACCACCATGCCACATGGCATTTGTTTCAAATAACATTTACAGAATAACTGACAAAGTACAGTTGTACAATTAAATTCATACAGCACTAACATTTTCCAACAATGTAGCAACCGAGATTGCTCGTTTCAAATGTACAGGGCAACAACTTCCTGACAAAGCTAGTGAGGTCTGTTACTGATATGGAGGCAGGGATGTTTAAACGTTGGTCTCCTTGCGCAGTCGCTTCATACGCTGTACATTGTTCTCCATGGCAATTCGGTTGGTGATCTCCGTGGCACAACTGGCAGGGAACCAACCTCTCTCTCCGTCCCTCATCCTCTCCCCATGGCACCAGTCTACGACAGGAGGGAAGATATTTTGGTAGCACTTTTGCTCGCTCAATATGATTTACAATAGCTCTGGTTCATAGATATTACAAGTCTTAATGCATTATTTATGCCTTAAGCAGCAAAGTTGAAACAAAGCATACTCCCTGCCATGGTTGCTAAAAAGCTGAGGGATGGGGTTGGTGAAATGTAACCACAAATTCAAAGCTATGGATGCAAGGACTGACCATGATATCAAAATTATAGCTTGAACCATTTTGAGGCTCGTGTTTGTTCTAAGTTGAATTTGTTTAGAGTAAAGCAAGCTTACATTTTGGGTTCTGATGGGGTACGACAGTTGACCTAAGCTCAGGAGGCATTTGAGTTATATTCTTAAAATAATCAATGGGTCCAGATATTGATGTAGCTACTGCAGATTGCCCCTTAAGTGACGTGTTACCGATATGTTACTTGTTTTGACCAGGTCCGCTTGTTTTAAATCAAGACTATTTCTACGTCCACACTTACCGTCTTCTTTCTGCAGGAGGATGACTACCTCTGCTTGCTGCAGACCTAGCTCGTCTGGCTCCTTGGGCATGTAGGCTTTGGTGGCCTCGTACTGCGGCAGGCCTAAAACACACCACCATAAAAAGGCCCACTTATTAGTAATAAGTTAACCAATGTCATTACAATGGAATCGAGCAGATACTGTAGCTACAGTCACATCTGAAATTGTTGGCACCCTTGAAAGAAACATAATTCAGATACTGAGCTCAAAACAATTACTCAGAAAGATTGTTTCACAAGTAAATGTAATGATAAAATCAAACATTTAACCTGGATTAACATTCTACTTTAAAATTAATCTCAGTTTAAGGAACTATTGTAGCCTTCCATGGCTTCCTGTTTCACTGGGGTATAGAAATGAGGTAACACGCATGTACAATCCCTTTGCTTTTTTCCATGGTGATGGATGACAAAACTCCCAAATCAAGAGACAAATGGTTGTTGACCTTCGTAAAAAAAATAAACAAATCTACCACTTACCACTATTAGGGCAACAATTAAAAGTTGGTAAACTTGCCCGGTAGATGATGCAAGTTTCTTGTACACGCACAATCAGGAAAATACTTTGGACTTTTCTTTGCCTCCCAAAGGCCACAGTTTGTGAATTACAGAACTTAATCACATCTTGGGATCTCCAAATCTACAATGAGACGCAACCTCCATGCCAATAGTCTATTTGGAAGGGTTGCCATAAAAAGGCCTTTATTGAGATTAACCAACAAATGTAAACACCTTGATTTTGCTAAATGGCATTAGCACTTAGATTGGAGACGGAAATAGAGCTCTTTGGCATCGAAAGAAGGATGCATATGCAGAAAACCTCATACCTACTGTAAAAATATTAAACGTGGCCGCAAATGGATCTTCCAGCAAGACAATGACCAACATCAAAATCCACACTTTTTTATTGACCACAAAAATCTAAATTTTTACTCAGTCTCCGGACTTGAACCCCATTGGAAACTTGTGGTTTGAATTGAAAAGGGCAGTCCATAAGCAAAGACCGAAGGATGGATCTGGAAAGATTATGTACATAGGAATGGTCTAAGATCCCTCACAATGTGTTCTTCAATCTCATAAAACAGCCTTTTTCTAAGTGCCGTTATCCTCGCAACGGGAGGGTGCACAAAGAATTGAAAACGGGTGGCAATTTTTATACCAATCTGAGAGATTGTTTTGGTATTAATTGTTAAACAAAATATTTTTCTCTGAGCAATTGTATTAGTATAAAATAACAGAATTTCCAAATCTTTAGCATACAATATACCTCGGTATTTGAATGATTGATTTTACAGTCTTTTGTGAAAAGCATGAGCTGGCACACATCCAAAAAAAGTTAGAGGTGCTGACTAATGCGAGTAAACTGTAGGCTTAAAAATAAAGAGTCAAGCATTCATGATATTACCCTGCAGAAGGCACTGTGATGTCGAAACGTTGGTTTACCCCATACATTTACTGGGAGTTTATATACTGTATATAGTGTGCAACTATTTTTATAGCATAGGCTTTTGCTCATCTTTATCAAGGGTGCCAATCATTTCAGATGTGGTTATATATGCCATCAGTGTCTTCAACTTGAGCCAAAAGGTGCTAGTAATTTGATGAGGGAAAATATAGGTGTGCCTCAGGAAAGTTTATTCCATCAAGTTGTGCTGCAGTTCAGAAAAGGTTGAAACTGAAATATACTGCTTATGTTATCTACAGTAAATAGCCAAAAGACGGACAATATCCAGTGTATGACTAGTGGAACTACGTATAGTTCAACTAGTAATTTAACTACATTTTGCAGTAGCTTGGTGGTAGTTGAACTAAATTCAATATCTAGGTAGTGTTTTCAGTAGTTAATTACTGATTTGCAATGTAGCAGTGTAGCTAACTACACACTACTTTTTTGAAAAAAAGAAAATATGGGTGAAGAAGGGCAATAATACCCTTTATAGGCATCATACCTGCCTAATTCTCACTTGAAAGATTTGTGTTTAATTAGGCTAAATTACACATTAAGATATGACCCAATAGTAATCTATTTGCAATTTGTAATCTAGGATATTTTCAGATTTACATATGATTTTTCATGAAGTAGTTTGAAAAGTAGATCACTAGATCCAAAGTAACTTCAGTTAAAACTATATTTTTCTTAAGGGCAGCTTTAGCATAGCTTAGTAAACTATATTTTCATAGTAGCTTCCCCCAACACTGACGATTCAGCATCAATCTAGGTAAATTGCATCTAATAATCCTACCATCTGTACTGGTCCTGTTCTCCATCTGCTTGTGCTCCCGGAGAGCACTCACCCAACGAGCACGGTCAACCCTTGAAATGAAGACAAAGATCACAGACACTCAAATTATTAAAGAACATGGCATTGTTAGTAGAAACTGATTGTATCAGTTAGTGGTGCATTCCAAAGCATGGGGAATGCGGGTGAGGAGACTGATACAATCAGTTTCACTTTCGGTAAAGATGCTCTACAGACTATCAATAAAGATTTCTATTAACCCTAGCCCTAACCTTAACCCTTATCCTAACCCTGAACTTAACCTTAACCCTTATTCTAAACCTAACCGTAGCAAGCAGTTGCTTATCAACTGATAGTATGAGCATCTATAGATCGACTATCCAAATAAGGTGACCCCACTTTCTGTTTCCACAACATTCTCCAAAAATGCTAGCCATGATATTCTGGTTGTTGCTAAATTACCAGTTAACGAATTTTAAGCTAAAACTATCCCTAGAAACATGTGGAATAACGCATTATGATGCAGTTACAGTGTATTCGCAAAGTATTCAGACCCCTTGACTTTTTCCACATTTTGTTACGCTACAGCCTTATTCTAAAATTGATTTAATTGTTTTTTCCCCCCTCAATCTACACACAATACCCCATAATGACAAAGCAAAAAACGTTTTTTTAGAAATTTTTGCAAATGTATAAAAACGGAAATATCACAATTACATAAGTATTCAGACCCTTCACTCAGTACTTTGTAGAATAACCTTTGGCAGCAATTACAGCCTTGAGTGTTCTTGGGTATGACACTACAAGCTTGGCACACCTGTATTTGGGGAGTCTCCCATTCTTTTCTGCAGATCCTCTCAAGCTCTGTCAGGTTGGATGGGGAGACATATTTTCAGGTCTCTCCAGAGATGTTCGATTAGGTTCAAGTCCGGGCTCTGGCTGGGACACTCAAGGACATTCAGAGACTTGTCCCGAAGCCACTCCTGCGTTATATTGGCTGTGTGCTTAGGGTCGTTGTCCTGTTGGAAGGTGAACCTTCGCCCCAGTCTGAGGTCCTGAGCCCTCTGGAGCAGGTTTTCTTCAAGGATCTCTCTGTACTTTGCTCCGTTCATCTTTGCCTCGATCCTGACTAGTCTCCCAGTCCTTGCTGCTGAAAAACATCCCCACAGCATGATGCTGCCATCACCATGCTTCACCGTAAGGATGGTGCCAGGTTTCCTCCAGATGTGACGCTTGGCATTCAGGCCAAAGAGTTCAATCTTGGTTTCATCAGACCAGAGAATCTTGTTTCTCATGGTTTGAGTCTCCTTTTGGTGCCTTTTGGCAAACTCCAAGCGGGCGGTCATGTGCCTTTTACTGAGGAGTGGCTTCCGTCTGGCCACTCTACCATAAAAGGGGTATTGTGTGTAGATTGATGAGGAAATGATTTATTTAATCCATTTTAGAATAAGGCTGTAACGTAACAAAATGTAGAAAAAGGGAAGGGGTCTGAATACTTTCCGAATGCACTTTAAGTCTTGTCACAAGCATGCGCAACCACCTTATGATGATCCTGACTAAATTCAATTTTCAGGTAACATAAAACATTAAAGACTCACACATGCCTATAACAAGTTGTTGACATGTATTGGACTGAATGAGAGTATAAGAGCTAGTGACACCTGGACTCAGCGACCAGCGCAATCTGCTCCGGTCTCCCCTCGCTGTTCCTCGACATAAGCAGCCGTAGAGACAGGTGGGCGCAGCCTCCCTTGGCAGGTGGCGACGTCTGTCCCTCAGTCTCCTCCGCTGATTCCACCTCCACGTTCTCCAGTGTGGCATAGTCCATCACCACATAGCTCTCGTCACTGGACACACACACGTATTACATGTATATGTGTGTTTGTAACATTTCCTGTACATAGATTCAGGTCCATCATTATTGGCACCCTTGATAAAGATGGGCAAAAAAAACACAAAAACTGAGCTATATTGTATGCCAAAAAAAGGGGGGGGGGGATTATATTATTTTATACTAATACAATTGCTCAGAGAAAGAGATTTTGTTTAACAAGTCATCAAAAAAAATCTCATATGGTTCAAAATTGCCACCTGTTTTCAATACTCTTGCGAGGATAAATGGTTTTATGAGATTGGATAAGACATTGGGAGGGATCTTCGAACATTCCTCCATACAGAATCTTTCCAGATCCTTGATATCCTTCATCTGCTCTTATGGACTGCCCTCTTCAATTCAAACTACAGGTTTTCAATGGGGTTCAAGTCCAGAGACTGAGGTGGCCATTGCAAAATGTTGATTTTGTGGTCAATTAACCATTTCTTTGTGGATTTTGATTAGTGCTTGGGGTTATTGTCTTGCTGGAAGATCCAACAGTTGCGATGACAATGGAGTAGGCAAAAGCACAAACAGATCTGGGACCAGGCTATTCTAGACAGTCATTGTGACCTGAAGATTGTGTCACAAGGCCATCTTACAGTTTTGAAAGTGACACCAGCACACTGGCATATCGCTTCCTCTCAGCGTTGACATGGATATAGCCTTCACACTCAGGCGCATGCAAACACACACGTCGACTGGAGTCTGCTGAACAGACTTGGTGTAAGGGGGTTTTAGGAATCCCAGGCATGCTCAGCTCCACTTTCCCTCCCTCCATCCTCTCCCAGCTGGCCCTACTCAAACCCCACAGAGGTCATGACCTGTCTCCACTGGCTTAAGTTGAAGGACAGCAGATAGAGGACTCCTCTTCAATGGAATGTCTGAATGAGTTGGATGCGACCGCGAAACCAGCATTAGAGTATTCTGCTATATAAAAATGTGAATTGTCTATTGTATGTGGCCATGTTGCTAGAATACACCTTGGGACAAATGTTTTATGGAATGAGGCCAGAATTCAATCGAACCACATTGCGCTGACATCAAACTGCACTTGACTTTTAAAAGGTGGTTTGAATCTCAGCCCATAAAGACTGGTATTTTGGTATTGTCAGAGGCTAAGGCTCTCTCTCTCTCACCTCTTCTTCTTGGTGACAATGAGCACGTCGTTGAAGAGAAACAGGTAGTAGCTCCTGTGGCTGAAGGCCTTCCAGAAGATACTGAGCTCCTCGGTGCAGACGGCCAGCTCCCCACGCTTCTGCAGCCACCGCGACGATGACACCAGTGGGAAAGGCTGAGGACAGGCGACAAGATTCAGGTTTATTTAAAGGTAACATTTTGGTAACACTTTACTAAAGCCGGGAATGTATATTATGATGGTTTTAATGCATTACAACTTGTCATAAGCATGTATTTAATAAGACATTATAAAGGCTAATAGATATTTATAGTGAGTAGTAACGCATCATACCTACCAGCTTTAAGTGTTAACAGGATTTTACACACTGTCACAACACATTTAAAAGAAAATGGATCAAATACTAATCTTGAAGTGTTGTGCTGTGAGTGAAGGTCTACTTGGCCGTACCTTGATCTTGCCAAACTCCATCTGCTTCTGAATAGTGTACATCTGTTCCGTCCTCTCCATTCGTCTTGCTCCGTCGTTGCAGCTATTCACCAACTGATGGGAGGAGAATACATGTAACAAAATGTATACATTTTATTTACAGATCGTTTTTGGTTGCGCAATGCTCAGTAATCCAACACACAGCAAAGGAAATGTACAGTACATTCAGAAAGTATTCAGTATTTTGTTACGTTACAGCCTTATTCTAAAATTGATTTTTTATTTTTTTTCCCTCATCTATCTACACACAATACCCCATAATAACAAAGCGAAAACAGTTTTTTTGAAATGTTTACCAATTTATTAAAGGTAAAAAACGTTTAAATACCTTATTTACATAAGTATTCAGTCCCTTTGCTGAGACTCAAAATTGAGCTCAGGTGCATCGTTTCCATTGATCATCCTTGAGATGTTTCTACAACTTGAATGGAGTCCACCTGTGGTAAATTCAACTGATTGGACATGATATATAAGGTCCTACAGTTGACAGTGCATGTCAGAGCAACAACCAGGCCGAAGGAATTGTCCGTAGAGCTACGAGACAGGATTGTGTCAAGGCACAGATCTGGGGAAGGGTACCAAAAAATGTCTACAGCATTGAAGCTCCCCAAGGACACGCTCCCCATCCAACCTGACAGAGCTTGAGCGGATATGCAGAGAAGAATGGGAGAAAATCCCCAAATACAGGTGTGCCAAGCTTGTAGCGTCATACCCAAGAAGACTCAAGGCTGTAATCGCTGCCAAATGTGCTTCAACAAAGTACTGAGTAAAGGGTCTGAATAAATGTGAAAACATTTCTAAATACATGTTTTTGCTTTGTCATTATGGGGTATTGTGTATAGATTGATGAGGGGGAAAAAACTATTTAATCCATTTTAGAATAAGGCTGTAATGTAACAAAATGTGGAAAAAGTTAAGGGGTCTGAATACTTTCCGAATGCACTGTAAGTTACCATGAAATGGCTGAGTTGCTACAGCAACATATGGTACAGCACCAGGGTACAGCTGTAGTAGTACTGCAACATATGGTACAGCACCAGGGTACAGCTGTAGTAGTACTGCAACATATGGTACAGCACCAGGGTACAGCTGTAGCGGACTGCAACATACCAAAAATACACCATGCACGATTAACTTATAGATGTATAGAACAATATGACACAAATCAAAATGGATGTCTGTTGCCGGCCCTGTGAAGCTTTCAAAAAGTCGACGTTTATAAAATGTTGGAGGACGGACGCAACAATGAACATGCAGGGTTCGTGGAGTGGCCTACCTTACTGATGGCGTTCAGGGCCCACACTGCAGCAAAGTACTCTGCCAATTTGTCTGGAGTTTTCTGACAGATCGTCTGGGTGGGAGAGAGAGAGATAGATGAGGTTGGGGAAGGGAGGCGCTCCCAAATACTACAGAACCACCTACTATTGTCCCACCGGATTTCAACCCCTGGATACCAGACATCGGAACTAGTTTATCCTGGGAATTAGCTGGATCAGCTAATAGAACAAGGAAAACCTCTAGGCCCTATAGTAATAGCCTAGAATCCGTTTTTTTCTGGTCACGTAGATAGGAGAAACTCCTGGCCGTACGGATACCCAATCCCTCTACAACAGGGGTTTCCAATGCTGGTCCAGTGGAGGTACAGGGTGTGCAGGCATTCATTCCGGCACAACACTAACGCATCTGTTTCAAATAATCAACTAAACAATTAGTTGAATAAGGAGTGTTGGGCTGGTGTTGAGCAAAAGCCTGCAGACCCAGCAGCTCTCTCCAGGACTGGAGTTGGAGAACCCTTTCCTATACCAGTGTCAGGGCTTTGACTGTTATTGGTCTGGTGTAAAATCTCTCCATTGGGAAGCGCCCAAGGACTCTCTGCAGTGTATCATAGCCATTCAGCAATGGATGAATCTCACAGACCATTCTCTTTGAGGCAAATGACGAGATCAGAGGAAAATACCTCCAATTTTCTCCTAGCTTACCCCTGACCTTTTGAAAAGGAGGCAAGGAGAGAGGACGCGAGGAATCAAGACAGACTTTTGAGATTCACCTGTTGACTCCCATCAGAGGAATCGTGAGGGACTTACGTCTAGTAGCAGCGGCAGCCGGGTGACTCTCTGCATTGGGAGGATGAGGAAGGAGATCATGGGCAGGCCTTGGGACTCACCGCTCCCCTCAATCCGTTTCAGCACCTCCTTAAAGGCAGTGTTGCTCGTTCTGAGAGACAGACACACACACACACACACACACGAGGAGAGGAGATGAAGAAAGGAAGCCACTAGAAGTCATGTTTGAATAATTTCAACATTGCATTATCCTTTAACACTTAGCCCAATCACTGATGCGACATGACTGGATTGGTGTAACCTGCGTAGTGAAAAACCTTGCTTTCATTTAGCCAACCATTTTAGATTTGGTGATTTGATTACTTCAATGAAAGGAGGACAAAGGGATGCATGTTAAAAGTATTTTATCAGGGTTTCTGTTATGGGCCCTGTTCGAATACTTCAGAAATGCGTATTTATTTTCAACCTTCATTGCTGTAATCACAGGTCTGAATTAGTTAGCTTGGTGAGAGTACACCTATCCAATCACTTACAAAATCTGTACTTGGAAGGAAGGAAGCATTTCTGAAGTATTTCAACAAGGCCCTTTTTGTCCCCTACTCACAGCAGCGTCTGCAGCGTCCTCTGCTGGAAGGTCTCGTTGGAGCAGTACACGATGTAGGGCGAAAAGTGGTGGGCGGCGTGGTTCTGCACTATGTCGCTGATGTCCTGGATCACCACGTTGTCATGGTGACGCCTTTCAAGGTCCTCGAAAAACCTGTCGAGAACAGAACACATGCATAACTGTTCCTTTCTCCCACTCTCTCCCTGTACCTGAGCAGCCGTTTAATAATAACCGCAGTGACTAAGGCAGTTTCGTGGAGAATTGTCCAAGCGCAGCCAGCAGTAGCATTGTACAAAGGTTGTAATTTACCTCTTAGTGCTGCCCTGAAAATGGCGCTTGTGATCTTTTGATTGCTTTGACTTTTGTATTTCAACACCTGAGACTGCTAGCATGTCTTAATGCAGGGTTTCCCAAACTCGGTCCTGGGGCCCCCTGGGTGCATGTTTTGGGTTTTGCCCTAGCACTACACAGCTGATTCAAATAATCAAAGCTTGCTGATTAGTTGGTTATTTTAAAATCAGTGCTAGAGCAAAAAACAAAATGTGCACCCAGGGGCGGGGTTATGTGCACCCAGGGGCGGCGAAGAGATATTGGAGATAGCAAATGGTGCAAAAAGAATTGTGTTTGTCCACTTTCAAAAAGCATCCTGTGGTAATAAAATGTATCTCCCACTATCTCAGAGTGCACATTAATTAAAATACAACTGTAGCTTTCCTTCCAGCCCCACCCATTACAGGGACTCTGTGAGTACACCGTGAGTAAACTGACACCCAAAACAACAGCTCAACTGAGGAAGCAATGTCACACACACTCCCACACACACCGAAGGGAGATAAGAAGGTCAGAATGGGTGCTAGTTGAGCAAACCCTGTCAAGACAAATTACACCTGTCAGTTTCATTACAACTGAGCGCTTTCCATTCAATTTCAACTGTGGGCAGCCACATAGCTACGCATAATAATTTGTGCAACTGCCGCAGACAGAGACTAGATCCATTTTCATTCAAAAAGCAGCAGTAACAAACAATAACAATGTAGCCTTGCTTTGAACACGACCTGCTTTCAGTGACATTATCATCATAAAGCTCTGCTGAATACCACCCGACCTACTAGGCAGTAGAACTGGTTGAGCCAGTGTCTAAACAAGTCCCGTGAGTCCTTCCAGGAGACTTGCTCATGCTCATGTATCTGAGGCTGCGTTTACACAGACAGCCCAATTCTTATCTTCTATCCCACCAATTGATATTTTGACCAATCACATCAGATCTTTTCACATCAGCTCTTTTTCAGAGCTGATCTGATTGGTCAAAGGACCAATTAGTGAAAGAAATATCAGAATTGGGCTGGCTGTGTAAACGCAGCCTAAATGAACCCATTGTGAACCTTTAAGCTGGGCAAACAACCAAATCTAAATGGGAATAATAGTAAAAGTATTTAACTACTAGATTACGGACAGATTTTTTCTTCTCACAGATGTTGTTTCAATGTTTGTCCATACAAGCATTTCCAAAACATTGATAACATCAATCATTTTGCTCTAGGTATATCTGTGAGTGTTACTAGTCCTAGCTAGAAGCGCCTGGTCTGCTAGCTTTCATTGAACCTCAGATAAGATGCAAATTCACTCTTTAGATGGCCTGTAGTTTCTCAGAGATCGAGCAAGATAATTGAAATAAAGATTTCCACCTTCAAAGTCACACACATGGAATAACCCCTTCATAAGTAATGAATGACTTGACTGACTAACAACAACCTACAGCTGAGGGTCAAGGAGCATGTTGTTGTTGTTGTTGTTGTTTCCGCCTGCGCTTCTGAATGCCTCCAGCTACTCGGTTTGTGGAATTTGATGCCTATGGTGAGATCTCCTAGTGCTAGCCTAGTCCAGATATGCATGTGCTTCAGCCAACTGCTCAGCTCTGACTATTATGTATTAGTGATAAAAATAAAAATCGTTAGTTACATATCGGGATATTATTTTTGACGATATACTGTGGGGAGAAGAAGTATTTGATACACTGCCGATTTTGCAGGTCTTCCTACTTACAAAGCATGTAGAGGTCTGTCATTTTTATCATAGGTACACTTCAACTGTGAGAGACAGAATCTAAAACAAAAATCCAGAAAATCACATTGTATGATTTTTAAGTAATTAATTTGCATTTTATTGCATGACATAAGTATTTGATCACCTACCAACCAGTAAGAATTCCAGCTCTCACAGACCTGTTAATTTTTCTTTAAGAAGCCCTCCTGTTCTCCACTCATTACCTGTATTAACTGCACCTGTTTGAACTTGTTACCTGTATAAAAGACACATGTCCACACACTCAATCAAACAGACTCCAACCTCTCCACAATGGCCAAGACCAGAGAGCTGTGTAAGGACATCAGGGATAAAATTGTAGACCTGCACAAGACTGGGATGGACTACAGGACAATAGGAAAGCAGCTTGGTGAGAAGGCAACAACTGTTGGCGCAATTATTAGAAAATGGAAGAAGTTCAAGATGACGGTCAATCACCCTCGGTCTGGGGCTCCATGCAAGATCTCACCTCGTGGGGCATCAATGATTATGAGGAAGGTGAGGGATCAGCCCAGAACTACACGGCAGGACCTGGTCAATGGCCTGAAGAGAGCTGGGACCACAGTCTCAAAGAAAACCATAAGTAACACACTACGCCGTCATGGATTAAAATCCTGCAGCGCACACAAGGTCCCCCTGCTCAAGCCAGCGCATGTCCAGGCCCGTCTGAAGTTTGCCAATGACCATCTGGATGACCATCTGGAGAAGGTCATGTGGTCTGATGAGACAAAAATAGAGCTTTTTGGTCTAAACTCCACTCGCCATGTTTTAAGGAAGAAAAATGATGAGTACAACCCCAAGAACACCATCCCAACCGTGAAGCATGGAGGTGGAAACATCATTCTTTGGGGATGCTTTTCTGCTAAGGGGACAGGACGACTGCACCGTATTGAGGGGAGGATGGATGGGGCCATGTATCGCGAGATCTTGGCCAACAACCTCCTTCCCTCAGTAAGAGCATTGAAGATGGGTCGTGGCTGGGTCTTCCAGCATGACAATGACCCGAAACACACAGCCAGGGCAACTAAGGAGTGGCTCCGTAAGAAGCATCTCAAGGTCCTGGAGTGGCCTAGCCAGTCTCCAGACCTGAACCTAATAGAACATCTTTGGAGGGAGCTGAAAGTCCGTATTGCCCAGCGACAGCCCCAAAACCTGAAGTATCTGGAGAAGGTCTGTATGGAGGAGTGGGCCAAAATCCCTGCTGCAGTGTGTGCAAACCTGGTCAAGACCTACAGGAAACGTATGATCTCTGTAATTGCAAACAAAGGTTTCTGTACCAAATATTAAGTTCTGCTTTTCTGATGTATCAAATACTTATGTCATGCAATAAAATGCAAATTAATTACTTAAAAATCATACAATGTAATTTTCTGGATTTTTTGGGGGGGGATTCCGTCTCTCACAGTTGAAGTGTACCTATGATAACAATTACTGACCTCTACATGCTTTGTAAGTAGGAAAACCTGCAAAATCGGCAGTGTATCAAATACTTGTTCTCCCCACTGTATATCGTATCGCTTTGACAATATGTTAGTTGGCTGTACCTGCACCAAAACTCCAGTATCTTTTATTTTCTCATGGCTCACTCATCACTCTGCAGCAGACATATGGTGAGCTATATGTTTGGACCATGGAATCACAATAAAATCACAGTATTGAACGGCAATACATATAGAATCGTGAGAATCGCAATACATTTCGTATCGGCACCTAAATATTGTGAGAATATCGTATCGTGAGGTCCATGGCAATTCCCAGCCCTAGTATGTATGGCCACCCCAACGATATTCAGAGGAGTTGACTACTAAAGCACATAGCGGTCTGGATTAGGCAAACAGTCTGCATTAATGTGTCCATTAAAAGGTATATAAACTACGGCCCCATTTGCCAGATTAATGTTTCCCACTAAATAACCTCACTATTCCAACTGCAGGCCAGATCGAAATGTCGTGGCCTTCAAACTGAGACCATCCTAACCCAGCGGTCTCCAATTGGAGTCCGGAGAAATATAGTACCTTTTGCTGACACCTTCGATTACAGTGATGTTGGAGAAGAGGTGGTGGTGCTCAGTGGCAGTCATGGTCTTCCGCAGCGCCGCGCTCCCTTTGAAGTGGCGCACCAGGATGCCGAGGCTGTGGAGGTACGAATACTCCGAGGTGATGATCTCAAAGATGGCCTGCCAAAACCACGTGAGAGAATGTCAGTGGGAAAAAAGCACCCCTTATATGGCAGGGAGAATCCCCCCCCCCCAAAAAAACCCAGAAGACCTGTATTGTGCAATGAACACTAGTGAACTACACTGAACAAAAATATAAAAATGCAACATGCAACAAATTCAAAGATTTTACTGAGTTACAGTTAGGGCTGTGGCGAGCCAGTTATTGTCATGCAAAAGCCTGCCGGTCTCGGTAATTGACCGTTAATTAACATAAACAAGTTTAGCATCTACAGGCCTCCACACATACAAGCAGCTGATGTGCGCCTTTAGAACATCTACATTTTAAAAAAGTATTATAAACCAACTTAATATACATTTTTCCTGTTTTGTTGCCTTACAACCTGGAATTCAAATCGATTTTTGGGGGGTTTGTATCATTTGATTTACACAACATGCCTACCACTTTGAAGATGCACATTTTTTTTTGTGTGTGAAACAAACAAGAAATAACACCAAAAAAAACAGCACTTGAGCGTGCATAACTATTCACAGGAATAAACTCTGTATGCGGTGATTACCCTCCTGCGCCTGACTCCTTTCCATCACACTCATCACAGAATCACCCACCCGCTATGGAGTCAGCAGGAGAAGAGCGCATGCCTGGAGTCGTGGCACGGGTCCAAGAGCATTCCACGATGCTGGCCAGCTTGGGGGAAGCGATGGATCAGGTTCTTCAGGTCGTCCAACGCCTGGAGAGGACCCGATCTGTCGAGACCAGCTGGCCAACCGGATCCAGCCACCTACACCCCAGCACCCGGAGGGATCCAGATATCCCGACCACGGGCGTTTGATGGGACGGCGGCGCTGTGCCAGGGATTCCTCCTCCAAATGGAGCTGTACTTCTCCAGCATCAGGCCGGCGCCATCGGAGCGGGAGAAGGTGTCCGTCCTCGTTTCCTGCCTCTGTGGGAAAGCCCTGGAGTGGGCCAACGCGGTGTGGAACGAAGGAGGAGCCGCGTTGGAGGACTACGGGGAGTTCGCTCGCCTCTTTCGGGCGGTCTTCGATCACCCGCCAGAGGGTCGAGAGGCGGGCGAGCAGCTGGTCCACCTGAGGCAGGGGACGAGGACCGCGCAGGACTTCGCGTTGGAGTTTCTGGCAGCGGGGTCCGGGTGGAACGAGCGGGCCCTGATCTACCATTTCCGGTGCCATCTGCGGGAGGACGTCCGACGTGAGCTAGCCTGCCGGGACACCATGTTGTCCTTCAATAAACTGGTGGACATGGCCATTCGTTTGGACAACCTGCTGGAAGCCAGAGTACGTCCTGGTAGGGGTCTGCCCGTTTCCACCCCGGACGACGACTCGGATCCCGAACCGATGGAACTGGGTGGAGCCGCCGGCCGAGAGAGCGGAGGAGGACAGCGACAGTGCCACTCTGGTGGCACGAAGGGACAGTACACCACACGTCGTAGTCAATGTTATTTTGGGCCTGGAAGCAGCAGGCAGGGCACTCTCGCATCACCCCAGGTATTGAACACCCACACTTGTTCAGAGCCCTCTGCTGCGCACTGTACCCTACCTATCCACTTTCCCGATCACATGGTAGTTCCCCAGTGTAAGGCGCTAGTCGATTCAGGCGAAGCTGGGAACTTTATGGACAGGGCATTCTCACGCCGTCATGGCATTTCATTGGTTCCCCTATCAATTCCACTCCCCATCAGAGCACTCCATAGTCGACCATTAGGTTCTGGGTTTGTTATGGAAGTCATTATACCAGTCACCATGATCACCCAGGAGACACATTATGAGCAGGTAATTTTTCGATTATTGAGTCTCCTGCTTTCCCTGTGGTATTAGGTATCCCTTGGCTAGCACTCCACAACCCCACCTTCTCATGGCCGCAGAGGGCTCTCACTGGGTGGTCGTGAGTGTCAGGGTTGGTGTCTAGATGTTTCCGTTGGTGCAACCACGGTGGAAAGTCCAGACGGTACCTCCACTGTGCGCATTCCCCCCGAATAACTCGATTTGGCGCACAAGTTTTCAAAGACGAGTGCGACTAAATTACCACCTCATCGGGCGGGGGATTGCGTGATAAACCTTCGGGTAGACGCTGTGCCTCCCAGGAGTCATGTGTACCCCGTCGCAGGCTGAAACGGAGGCTATGGAAACATACATCTCCGAGTCCCTGAGCCAGGGGTATATACGTCCCTCCACTTCACCCGCCTCCTCGAGTTTCTTCTTTGTGAAGAAGAAAGACGGCGTTCTGTGCCCGTGCATTGATTATCGATCACTGAACAAGGAGACGATTAGATTTAGTTATCCTCTCCCCCTCAATCCTTCAGTAATTGAGTCAATGCATGGGGCGCGCTTCTTCACTAAGCTAGATCTCAGGAGTGCATACAACCTGGTGCGTGTTCGGGAGGGGGATGAGTGAAAGACAGCATTCAGCACAACCATGGGGCATTATGAATACCTGGTGATGCCCTACGGTTTGATGAATGCGCCATCCGTCTTCCAGTCCTTTGTGAACGAGGTGTTTCGGGACATGCTTGTTCGCGGTGTGGTGGTCTACATCGATGACATCCTGATGTATTCCGCTACTCGCGCCGAGCACGTGTCCCTGATTCGCAAAGTGCTGGCCCGACTGTTGGAAAATGACCTTTATGCCAAGGCAGAGAAGTGTATGTTTTTCCAGCAGTCCATCTCCTTCCTCGGATACCGCATTACCACCTCAGGTGTGGAGATGGAGGGAGATCGCATTTCAGCCGTGAGTAATTGGCCGACTCCAACCACGGTTAAGGAGGTGCAGCGCCTCCTTGGCTTTGCCAACTACTATCGGAGGTTTATCCGGGGCTTTTGCAAGGTTGCAGCTCCCATTACATCCCTGTTGAAGGGTGGGCCGTCCCAGCTCCGCTGCTCTGCTTAGGCTGACCTGGCCTTCAGGAGACTGCGGGGTCTGTTCACTTCAGCTCCAGTACTGGTCCACCCTGATCCATCACTACCGTTCGTAGTGGAGGTGGATGTGTCCGAGGTAGGGATAGGCGCTGTCCTGTCCCAACGCTCGGGCACGCCACCCAAGCTCCGCCCCTGTGCCTTCTTCTCTAAGAAGCTCAGCCCGGCAGAGCAGAACTACGATGTTGGAGATCGGGAGCTGTTGTCCGAGCTTTGACCGTGTGGAGGCATTGGCTCGAAGGGGCAAAACACCCTTTCCTCGTCTGGACGGACCACCGTAACCTGGAGTACATCCGGGCAGCGAGGAGGCTGAATCCTTGCCAGGCCAGGTGGGCCCTATTCTTCACCCGGTTTGATTTTACACTGTCATACATTCCGGGTACGAAGAACGTGAAGGCAGACGCACTGTCCCGGCTGTATGACACAGGAGAGGCCCAGAGACAACACCCCCATACTCCCGCATTGTGGCGCCGGTAGTATGGGCGATGGACGTGGATATAGAGCAGGCATTACGCACAGATCCATCTCCACCACAGTGTCCAGCTGGGCTGCGGTACGTGCCTGCTCTTATCCGTGATCGTCTGATCTTATCCGTGATCGTCTGATCTTCTGGGCACACACGTCACCCTCCTCTGGTCACCCAGGTCGTACAGTGCGCTGCTTGATCGGAAAGTACTGGTGGCCTACCTTGGCTAAGGACATGAGGGGGTACATCTCCTCCTGCTCGGTGTGCGCCCAGAGTAAGGCACCTAGGCACCTCCCAGCGGGTAAGCTACAACCTTTACCAGTTCCACAACGACAAAGGTCTCACCTTAGTATTGATTTTTTACTGATCTTCCCCTCTCCCAAGGTAACACCACCATCCTGGTCATTGTGGACCGCTTCTCCAAGTTCTGCCACCTCCTTCCTCTGCCCGGTCTCCCCACGGCCCTGCAGACTGCGGAGGCCCTGTTCACTCACGTCTTCCGGCGCTACGGGATGCCAGAGGATATAGTGTCCGACCGAGGTCCCCAGTTCACGTCCAAGGTTTAGAAGGCGTTCATGGAACGTCTGGGGGTCTCGGTCAGCCTGACCTCTGGGTTCCACCCAGAGTCAAATGGGCAGGTGGAATGGGTAAATCAGGATGTGGGTAGGTTCCTGCGGTCCTACTGCCAGGACCGGCCGGGGGAGTGGTCGGTGTTCTTGCCATTACATTTGACATTTTAGTCATTTAGCAGAATATGCCCAGAACTCTCTCTGCCACTCCTCTACTAACCTAACACCATTCCAATGTGTTTTAGGTTACCAACCGGTTCTGGCACCGTGGCACCAGAGCCAGACCGAGGCTCCTGTGGTGGATGACTGGTTTCGGCGCGCGGAGGAGACGTGCATCGTCAGAAGGTCAACGCTGACCGTCACCGCAGTGAGGCCCCGGTCTTCGTACCGGGGGATCGGGTCTGGCTCTCGACCCGGAATCTGCCCCTCCGCCTGCCCTGCCGGAAGCTGAGCCCGCGGTTTGTGGGGCCGTTCAAAGTCCTGAGGAGAATCAACGATGTCACGTATAGGTTATTACTTCCCCCTGATTACCGTATTAACCCCTCGTTTCATGTATCTCTCCTCAGGCCGGTGGTGGTTGGTCCGCTCCAGGAGTCTGAGGTGCGGGAGGTTCCTCCACCTCCACTGGACTTCGAGGGGGCCCTGGCGTACTCTGTCCGTTCCATCCTGGATTCGAGGCGTCGGGTGGGGGGCATTCAGTACCTCGTGGAGTGGGAAGGGTATGGTCCGGAGGAACGGTGCTGGGTCCCGGTGAGGGATATCCTCGATCCCTCCCTGTTGCGGGATTTCCACTGTCGCCATCCGGCGGGGGGGGTGGGGGGGGGGGGGGGTACTGTCACGACTTCGGCCGCCCCCCCTCCTTGTTCGGGCAGGTTTCGGCGTTCGTCGTCAACGGCTTACTAACCACTGCTGCCCCAATCATCATCACAATTGTCTTGTCTTGTCAATCACACACACCTGGTTCCTATCCCCTAATTAGTCTGTGCATAAGTGTTCCATCTGCCCCCTTGTCCTTGTGGGTGATTGTTATTTGTGAGAGTAGTGTAGCTCGGTGGAGCTACTCGTACATTGTGTTGCCACGGTAGATTTTCCCCTGTGCATATGTATTATTGGATATTCATTACAGTGTATTTGCCAGGGATGATAGTTTCCCCTGTGCCTGTTTCATTGATCGCTATTTGAGCGCATGTGTGTCTACGAAGGAATAAACTCTGTATTCGGTGATTACCCTCCTGCGCCTGACTCCTTTCCATCACACTCATCACATATACATTCTCTCCCAAATTCGTGGATAGACATTTTGGAGCGTAGCATAAGATAACCAGTCCATCCAGTATGCATAATAATACAGTCCACACTCAACGGCGATTACTCTAATTTGTTTAGTTTTGGAGTATAGACTAGACCAATTATGAACCAAAGACATCTTAAATCAGTTTGTTTTATGTTTTTCTCCCATGCATAATATGCAGTAGGCTATGTATTGTATAACGGAACAATCATCATTTTTTAAATTCAGTGTTTTTCCTTTGGGCTTCGGCTCATAAGCCTATGTATAAGCTCTAATATGCATATGGTGGTTTTGAATTAATCATCACCTTAGAAAGCGCTGTCCATTTAGTTGTGTTTGGCTTTGAAACAACATCCACAAAAACCATGTTTTACACTGTTTCAACCTGCTGTTGAAGTTCTTTCTTCAAATTGATCATCACTGTAAGGTGAGTTTTAAAAGTACTATAGGCCTACTGTTTTGATAGGTTTTAGATTTGATTTTTGATTGCATTTGCATTGATGTCAGAGTGGTTAGAGGGACAATAGAGCCCTGAGTCCCAGGTCATTAGGACCTGATGGTCATTAGCAAGTTGGTTACTACCAAAGCATGTCCAGAGTGCATAAACGGAGATTACGTGACTCAACAGTCACGTGGAATTTTACTGCGGTCATGACTCATGACTGCCAGTGTGGCGGTAATATGGTCACTGCAACAGCCCTAGTTACAGTTCATAAAAGGAAATTCATTAGTCCCTACTATATGGATTTCACATGACAGGGAATACAGATATTCAGTTCACAAATACCTTTAAAAAAAGGTAGGGGTGTGGATCAGAATACCAGTCAGTATCTGGTGTGACCACCATTTGCCTCATGCAGCCCGACATCTCCTTCGCATAGAGTTGATCAGACTGTTGATTGTGGCCTGTGAAATGTTGTCCCACTCCTTTTCAATGGCTGTGCAAAGTTGCTGGATATTGGCGGGAACTGGAACACACTGTCGTACAAGTCGATCCAGAGCATCCTAAACATGCTAAATGGGTGACATGTCTGGTGAGTATGCAGGCCATGGAAGAACTGGGACATTTTCAGCTTCCAGGAATTGTGTACAGATCCTTTCGACATGGGGCTGTGCATTATCATGCTGAAACATGAGGTGATGGCGGCGGATGAATGACATGACAATGGGCCTCAGGATCTCATCACGGTATCTCTGTGCATTCAAATTGCCATCGATAAAATGCAATTGTGTTCGTTGTCCGCAGCTTATACCTGCCCATACCATAACCGCCACCATGGAGCACCCTGTTCACAAAGTTGACTTTAGCAAACCGCTCGCCAACACGACGCCATACACGCTGTCTGCCATCTGCCCGGTACAGTTTAAACTGGGATTCATCCATGAAGAGCACACTTCTCCAGCGTGCCAGTGGCAATCGAAGGTGAGCATTTGCCCACTGAAGTCGGTTACGACGCCTAACTGCAGTCAGGTCAAGACCCTGGTGAGGACAAGGAGCACGCAGATGAGCTTCCCTGAGACGGTTTCTGAGTTTGTGCAGAAATTATTCGGTTGTGCAAACCCACAGTTTCATCAGCTGTCCGGGTAGCTGGTCTCAGACAATCCCACAGGTGAAGAAGCCGGATTTAGAGGTCCTGGGCTGACGTGGTTACTGTCTGCGGTTGTGAGGGCGGTTGGACATTGGAGGCAGCTTATGGTAGATAAATTAACATTGCATTCTCTGGCAACAGCTCTGGTGGACATTCCTGCAGTCAACAAGCCAATTGCACACTCCCTCAAAACATCTGTGGCATTGTGTTGTGTGACAACTGTCAGGTGGGTGGATTATCTTGGCAAAGGAGAAATGCTCACTAACAGGGATGTAAACAAATTTGTGCACAAAATTTGGGAGAAATAAGCTTTTTGTGCATATGGAACATTTCTGGGATCTTTTATTTCAGCTCATGAAACATGGGACCAGGTTGGAGCAGATCAGCATTCAAAGATAAAGCTGGACGCATACTGCTAACAACAATAATTAGCAAACAACAGCAATGATAGAGAATGTTGCTTCGCCATTCAGTTTGTTTCATTCACAGAAGCGTCCCTAGGGTTAACTGTTATAGTAAAATAACCTTGCAAGATGTATAAAGGATTAAATGGGATAATCATATCGTGAATGGGATGCAAAGGCCACTTGTTTGGAAACCAAAAGGTCGCTGAAAGGTGAAACGGTACTTTGAAGAACACTTTTCATTTTAATGACGTCTACTACTGTGTTCCCAACTTGTATGGGAACAAAATGTTAGACATCTTTTACCATTTTGAATGGACCATGTCCAATTCATACGCAATAGAGAGCCATGCCTGTACATTACAATGGTTGTTGGTTCCAAAGGACACTTTCCTGGAAACTTTAATCCAATCAAATATATGGACTAATAGTTCATAAGCTAGCTATAACTTTACGCATTCACCTTACAGAAGATGTATCACTGATAAATCTAGTTTGAAACTCAGCTAGGTGCTTCTAAGACTTTTGAGAAGAGTGATAGTGCTATTGATATAACAGGGTTAGCCAGCGGGAGTGGAGGGACTAAGGTGGCCAACAAATAGAGGGTGTGGCTGTTTTAGCACACAGAGAGCGTACCGGTGGACTTTGATATTTAGACAATAGTGTGTTCTGACTACCAATAAAGAGTCCCAGAGCAGGCACTCTCAAAGAGCCTGCTGTAAACTCACTCAACACACACAGCCCCTTACCTCCTGTCGTTTCCGCTCCTCAGCAGAGATCATCTGAAGAATGCCGGTATCCTTCACCTGAGGCATAGAGGAAGACGTTCACAGCAAAATGATTAGTACATAAACTGACACAGTCATTGGCATTACAACATCATAAAACTGTAATATGTTGCTTAAGCAGTATGACAGAGCACTCAGTCAGCAAACTGTATCCATATGGGAATGCAATTGCCCTGAAAATGTTGTAATATGCAGAGTTAGAGGCTCAATTCCATTCATACTCTTAATGAAATGGGGAGTTTCTTTTGAATTCGTTCATAAATAAATGGTTCAAATAGAATACCACCGTTTAATTTAAAACAGTATATTCGTCTTCATGGGACTAGGCGATATTTCTTTTGTTGATAACAGTTCTGTTCCTGGCCTCCCGTGTGGCGCAGCAGTCTAAGGCACTACATCGCACTCATCACTACAGATCCGGGTTTGATCCCAGGCTGTGTCACAACCGGCCATGACCGGGAGTCCCATAGGGCGGCGCACAATTGGCCCAGCGTCGTCCGGGTTAGGGGAGGGTTTGGCCAGGGGGAGTTTACTTGGCTCATCGCGCTCTAACAACTCCTTGTGGCTGGCCGGGCGCCTGCAGGCTGACTTTGGTCGTCAGTTGAACAGTATTTCCTCCGACACATTGGTGCGGCTGGCTTCCGGGTTAAGCAGGTGGGTGTTAAGAGGCGCGGTTTGCGGGTCATGTTGTTTCAGAGGATGCATGACTTGACCTTTGCCTCTCCCGAGGCTGTTGGGGAGTTGCAGCGATGAGACGATCGTAATTGGATATCACGAAATTGGGGAGAAAAATAATAAAATAAATACAAATATAACAGTTCTGTTCCTAAAATCTTTAATTTTAAGTCTAAACACACATCTTCGAGTGATAGTCACAATATAAGTTGAATTGAAGTGTGTGAGTTATTTTAGGATGTTTTTAGGCCACATTTTCATACAGTCCATGTATTGTTTACTACACAAGGCTTTCCGTAGAGCTTGAATTAAAATTCTAAGACAGCCACATAATTGTTTTCTTGCCTCGAGGAGTTAAGATTGGGTTAAAATGTCAGAAAACCATCCCTTTTACTGCCTTCTTTCACGCGTATGATCCGTGCCAAAGTTTGGTGTTGATGCACAGTCACACAGATATCTGCTGTTAGGGTTCGGACCCCACATCTGTGCCCCTACCAGCCCCCCCTGGCCTGGGAGACCCCTCTGCTCCTCCCTGCTTACCTGTGGTAGCGAGCTCCAGGTGACCTGCGCTGGCCTGTAGCTCTTTACCACGATGGCCTGGTCCTCCCCGGGTGGCTCCACATGGACAAAGTCATCCTCCTCCGCAATAGCGGTGGGCTGCAGCCCCCGCTCCCTGATCTCCTGGTACAGCCGAGGATCTGCGGGCAAGAGAATCGAATTGGAATACCTTTATTGTTCCATGCAATGTTGAAATGGCTTTTGTAGTTATGTGACACTGACATGGAAAATGTGGAAATGTATGAAGTCCTCACTTCACTGTCATTAAGAACACTTAATTTGACACATTCCGCATGGATAATACAATTATTGTAGATAGTCAGATTAATATAATAGTTTGTTTAAAACATTTACATGCTTTGCAAGAACAATTTCCTGTATACATGGGCACAACTGAAATCAGGGTACTGATGGGCCTTTTAATACATGCAGAAAATCGGCAATCAAAATAAACGTTCTACCAGTGACCATGTTATTTTTGCGAAGACTATTTGATTCTGAGTTTGATTCTAAGATGCATACGTTTTTCCAAACTCACTTTACTTGCGCACAAGAGGGAGGCTTGCGTTACCGGTGCTGGCATGTGTACAGATCAAATACACAGCTGGAACACCGATTAAGCGTTCCAGCGCCATATCCTAACAATTCAAAAGATTGCTCAGAAAACCAGGTGCTTTAATCGGCATATGTTTACTTCCATTATGACCTTACCCTGATTAAGATAAGCAGATCAAGGTGTTTACATGACTAATACCATACTCTGCCTTAATCAGTTTAATATCGAATTATTAGTGTGCATGTTAACGTACTTAAATGAGAAATGGAATGACCAATGGTGATTAAAAATGAAGAGGAAAATGGAGCATATTAAAATGCAGGATATTCCAAATATTTGGTATGCTGAGTGCATTTAGAGCTGAGAGATATTCTGTTGCGTTCTATGTAGCCTCCTTGAGGCTACCGTTTCCAAATCAAATCAAATTTTATTTGTCACATCCGCCGAATACAACAGGTGTGGCCCTTACAGTGAAATGCTTACTTACAAGCCCTTAACCAATAATGAAAGAGCAGTAGTAAAATAACAGTAGTGAGGCTATATACAGGGGGTACCGGTACAGAGTCAATGTGCGGGGGGGGTGGGGGGGGGTGCAAATAGTCCGGTTGAATATTTTCTTCGCTATAAAATAAGCGTTTAAAACATGTTTTTGTCCAGGGTTTCCCATTTTCCAACTGTGGGCTGCCATTGTTGTCCATTTTAGAACACGCAGTCACAAATTAGTATCTCCCACTTGTACAGGCTGAAAATGGGATACCCTGGATAAAAACAAGTTTTAAACGCTTATTTGATAGCGAAGGACACATTCAACCAGACGAATTTTAAGTATTGTTCTTAAAGATACTGGATATGCCTCTGTACCGTTAAAACATTATTTTGGTGAAACCGAATAGTTTAGATTTGGTTGATCAAGGACGCCAGGCTACGGAAGCTTCTGCAACGAGCGATCTGTCTGTAAACAATGGCTCGTTGCAGGGCGAAGCCACATGCTAACCAGGAATACAGGTCAACCAATTCCATTTGAACTTCAGGAAGTGAATTGAAAATGACAATGATTGAGAAATCTTCACTTGAAAGAAATAATGGCCAATTATCGATTTAAGAACTGAATTTCGGTTCATCTCCTGGCTTTGCCATATACATTTTTTAATCGAATAACCCAGATGCTAGCAGTTTTTTGCCATTTGATATTTTCCTGTCATCTGCTAGCCTGGGTGTCTGTTTCTGCTCTTTCACAAACGTATGCAGAAATACACTGGCATGACTAGTCATCTGCATCTCTAGGGACAAAGCTCTGTCAGCCGGGAGGAGTGACACATAAGTACCGTCTTTGAATGAGCCCCCGTGCTTCTGGTTCCTCTTTCTCCCCAAGGTTCTCTAGAAGGGAGATGGTGGAAACACAACATTAGTTAATCATAGAGCAGGGATCATCAACTAGATTCAGCCACAGGATGATTTGTTATTGAGCAGATGGTCAGGGGGCTGGAACATAATTACAAATAATTTGTAGACTGGGCTTCTTGCGGTCAATTTGCAAACATATATAATATTTCAAACCTTGCTTACATTGGTATACGATCACATACTGTATATCTTAGAGGAATGAAGGGGGGAAGAGGGCCTCCATAGAAGGACATGGCGCTCTCTCTCTCTCAATTTTGTCAGTATGTTTTGCTCCATGTTAAAACCATAGTGCAGGTGGACTTCCTCGACTGACAACACTAACAGTTTATGCATGGGAAGTTGTCCTGGAAATTTGACCTCATTCTAACTAAAAAGGCTTCTAACTGAGGGACTTATCACCAGCACTTTGGCACTGATGACTCAAGACAGCTAGGTTTCTGGATAGACACTAACTGAGGAGTGAGGTGTCTGATACAACTATCCCTTCCAGAACCACAGTAGTCTTCTACCAATCCCCCCCCCCCCAGTTTCAGTGATAATTTCAACAGGCCTGGTCTCCCAGGTCTAAAGCAAACATGTTCAATCAAAAACACAGAGTGCCTGTGGCGCTCCAGGACCAGGGTTGCCTACCCCTAGGGCATAGCAGGGGGCTAGAGATGGAATTAAGCCAGCGACTCGCTCCCACTTGCCTTGCGTCCGGGACCGCGTGCCGGCCCTGGGCTGGAGGCTCTGCTGTCTTCCTTTACGGGCATGAGCGTGTTTGCGCCCCCGTGGTTCCCAGCCATGGCGTCTATGTCGAGGCTGGTCACCGCCACCCGGTACGACTGGTTCCTGCGGTTCCTCCTCAGTGAGACGCCATCCCCGTCGCTGTCGTAGTCCTCCCAGGACACGTCAGGCCCCATGGCGGAGTGACGGCTCCTGGAGGAGGAGGTGGTGGAGGCGGCCTCCAGACCCAAGGGGAAGGTGACCACGGTGGTGTGGTGGCGGGGCTTATTTGGCCGACTGGCCACCGCCAGGCTCTTGGGGATGAGCTGCTGGGTGCCCAGCTTCCGTGCCGCAGCACTCTGAGTGCTCAGGACCACTGGCATCCGCCCCTTGGAGACTTCGGCCAACGAGGGCTCGGCCTGGGACGTGGGTGAGCCCTGCGGTTGGCCGTGGTGGTTGTCCATCGAGTCGCAGTCCAGCTGCAGGTCGGAAGAGAAGCGTCGCTCCAGCAGGAGGGAGGTCTGGTCGCCCATGGAGCCGTCTGACTGTCTGTTGGTCATCCCTGGTCCTGCCCTGGTCCCGGTGGTTCAATGTCTGCCTGCCTGAGAGCTCGGTTATCTCTGCAGCATCAGCAACAGGCTACCATAGCAGCATAGAGACTGTTGGGACAACTACAGGATGTCAACTTGAACCAAGTAGGGGATTTAAATTTTGCAATTGAATGTAACTATAAAAATAAACATTTGTTTCACTTTGGCATTAATGTTTCAACAAAGACAAACACCATGGAATGTGGTAATTAGGGGTGGAAATAGATACTCAATGTGAATGTTTTGCTTTGAATTTTCAGCTCAAATGCCAGACAACTAGCCAACCGATGTTGCCTGGCTACCCAAACTACTTGCTCTGGCCAAACGCTACGTCACTCCCACGGACGTTAGTTGCTTCTACACAATGAGTCTGGATCCGAGTACGGCCCTTACTATCCGGGATCCTTGGGACGTCCCTACCACATTGAATGTACACTGAACAAAAATATAAAAACACAACCATTAAAAACTTTACTGAGTTACAGTTCATAAAGTGCATTCGGAAAGTATTCAGACCCCTTGACTTTTTCCACATTTTGTTACATTACAGCCTTATTCTAAAATGGATTAAAATTGTTAGTTTTTTCCTTATCAATCTACACACAATACCCCATAATGATTAAGCGAAAACAAGTTTTGAAATGTTTGCTAATTTATAATAATTAAAAATTTTAAACAGAAATATTACATTTACATAAGTATTCAGATCCTTTACTCAGTACTTTGTGGAAGCAACTCTGGCAGCGATTACAGCCTTGAGTCTTCTTGGGAATGACGCTACAAGCTTGGCACACCTGTATTTGGGGAGTTTCTCAGATTCTTCTCTGCAGATCCTCTCAAGCTCTGTCAGGTTGGATGGGGAGCGTCGCTGCACAGCTATTTTCAGGTCTCTCCAGAGATGTTCAATCGGGTTCAAGTCCGGGCTCTGGCTGGGCCACTCAAGGACATTCAGAGACGTGTCCCGAAGCCATTCCTGCGTAGTCGTCTTGGCTGTGTGCTTAGGGTCGTTGTCCTGTTGGAAGGTGAACCTTCGCCCCAGTCGGAGGTCCTGAGCGCTCTGGAGCAGGTTTTCATCACGGATCTCTCTGTACTTTGCTCCGTTAATCTTTCCCTTGATCCTGACTAGTCTCCCAGTCCCTGCCGCTGAAAAATATCCCTACAGCATGATGCTGCCACCACCATGCTTCACCGTAGGGATGGTGCCAGGTTTCCTCCAGACGTGACGCTTGGCATTCAGGCCAAAAAGTTCAATATTGGTTTCATCAGACCAGAGAATCTTGCTTCTCAAGGTCTGAGAGTCCTTTAGGCAAACTCCAAGTGGGCTGTCATGTACCTTTTACTGAGGAGTGGCTTCCGTCTGGTCACTCTACCAAAAGGCCTGATTGGTGAGGTGCTGCAGAGATGGTTTTCCTTCTGGAAGGTTCTCCCATCTCCACAGAGGATCTCTGGAGCTCTGTCAGAGTGACCATCGGGTTCTTGGTCACCTCCCTGACCAAGGCCCTTCTCCCCTGATCGCGCAGTTTGGCCGGGCGGCCAGCTCTAGGAAGAGTCTTGGTGGTTCCAAACTTATTTGATTTAAGAATGATGGAGGCCACTGTCTTCTTGGGGACCTTCAAAGCTGCAGAAATGTTTTGGTACCCTTCCCAAGATATGTGCCTCAACACAATCCTGTCTCGGAGCTCTATGGAAAATTCCTTCGAGCTCATGGCTTTTTTTTGCTCTGACATGCACTGTCAACTGTGGGACCTTATATAGACAGGTGTGTGCCTTTCCAAATCATGTCCAATCAATTGAATTTACCACAGGTGGACTCCAATCAAGTTGTGGAAACATCAAGGATGACCAATGGAAACAGGATGCACCTGAGCTTAATTCAGTCTCATAGCAAAGTGTCTGAATACTTATGTAAATATGTAATGTTTTTCATGTCTAATACATTTGCAAAAAAATTCTAAAAACCTGTTTTTGCTTTGTCATTATGGTGTAGTGTGTGTAGATTGAGGAAAAAAATGCATTTAATTTTAGAATAAGGCTGTAACGTAACAAAATGTGGAAAAAGGGAAGGGGTCTGAATAATTAACGAATGCACTGTACCTTTAAAAAAAGGTAGGGGCGTAGATCAGAAAATCAGTCAGTATCTGGTGTGACCCCCATTTGCCTCATGTAGCGCGACACATCTCCTTCGTATAGAGTTGATCAGGCTGTTGATTGTGGCCTGTGGAATGTTGTCCCACTCCTCTTCTATGACTGTGTGAAGTTGCTGGATATTGGCGGGAACTGGAACACGTGGTCGTACACATTGATCCAGAGCATCCCAAACATGCTCAATGGGTGACATGTCTGGTGAGTATGCAGGCTATGGAGGAACTTGGAAATGTTCAGCTTCCAGGAATTGTGTACAGATCATTGCCCCATGGGGCCGTGCATTATCACGCTGAAACATGAGGTGAACTGCAGTCAGGTCAAGCCTGATGAGGACGACAAGCCCGCAGATGAGCTTCCCTTAGACGGTTTCTGACAGTTTGTGCAGAAATGTTTTGGTTGTGCAAACCCACAGTTTCATCAGCTGCCCGAGTTGCTCATCTCAGACGATCCCACAGGTGAAGAAGCCGGATGTGGAGGTCCTGGGCTGGTGTGGTTATATGTGGTTTGCGGTTGGACGTACTGCCACATTCTCTAAAACGACGTTGGAGGTGGCTTATGGTAGAGAAATGAACATTAAATTATCTGGCAACAGCTCTGGTGGACATTCCTGCAGTCAGCATGCCAATTGCACACTCCCTCAAAACATCAGACATCTGTGGCATTGTGACAAAACTGCACATTTTAGAGTGGCCTTTTATTGTCCCCAGCACAAGATGCGCCTGTGTAATGATCATGCTGTTTAAATCAGCTTCTTGATATGCCACACCTGTCAGGTGGATGGATTATCTTGGCAAAGGAGAAATGCTCACTAACAGGGATTTAAACAAATTACTGCACAAAATTTGAGAGAAATCAGATTTTTGAGGGTATAGAAAATGTATATATTTTTGTTCAGTGTAAAATGGTTAAGGTTAGGGGGTTAACGATGGGGTTCATTAAGGGTTAAAGTTAGGGTAGGGTAGGTACACTAAGAACACCTAGTCATTCAAAGGTTTTTCTTTATTTTTACTATTTTCTACATTGTAGAATAATAGTGAAGATATCAAAACTATGAAATAACACATATGGAATCATGTAGTACCCAAAAACAAGTGTTAAACAAATCAAAATATATTTTATATTTGAGATTCTTCAAAGTAGCCACCTTTTGCCTTGATGACAGCTTTGTACACTCTTGGCATTCTCTCAACCAGCTTCACCTGTAATGCTTTTCCAATAGTCTTGAAGGAGTTCCCAAATATGCTAAGCACTTGTTGGCTGTTTTTCCTTCACTCTGCGGTCCGACTCATCTCAAACCATCTCAATTTGGTTGAGGTCGGGGGATTGTGGAGGCCAGGTCATCTAATGCAGCACTCCATCACTCTCCTTCTTGGTCAAATAGCCCTTACACAGCCTGGAGGTGTGTTGGGTCATTGTCCTGTTGAAAAACAAATGATAGTCCCACTAAGCGCAAACCAGATGAGATGGCGTATCGCTGCAGAATGCTGTGGTAGCCATGCTGGTTAAGTGTGCCTTGAATTCTAAATAAATCACAGACAGTGTCACCAGCAAAGCACCCCCACACCATAACACCTCCTCCTCCATGCTTTACGGTGGGAACTACACATGCGGAGATTATCCGTTCACTCACACCGCGTCTCACAAAGACACGGCGGTTGGAACCAAAAATCTCAAATTTGAACTCCAGACCAAAGGACAGATTTCCACCGGTCTAATGTCCATTGCTCGTGTTTCTTGGCCCAAGCAAGTCTCTTCTTCTTATTGGCGTCCTTTAGTAGTGGTTTCTTTGCAGCAATTCGACCATGAAGGCCTGATTCACGCAGTCTCCTCTGAACAGTTGATGTTGAGATGTGTCTGTTACTTGAACTCTGAAGCATTTATTTGGGCTGCAATTTCTAAGGCTGGTAACTTATCCTCTGCAGCAGAGGTAACTCTGGGTCTTCCATTCCTGTGGCGGTCCTTATGACAGCCAGTTTCATCATAGCGTTGTTCCGTATTGACTGACCTTCATGTCTTAAAGTAACGGACTGTTGTTTCTCTTTGGTTATTTGAGCTGTTCTTGCTATAATATGGACTTGGTCTTTTACCAAATAGGGCTCTCTTCTGTATACCCCCCCACCTTGTCACAACACAACTGATTGGCTCAAACGCATTTAAAAAATGAAAGAAATTCCACAAATTAACTTTTAAGAAGGCACACCTTTTAATTGAAATGCATTCCAGGTGACTACCTCATGAAGCTGGTTGAGAGAATGTCAAGTGTGCAAAGCGGTCATCAAGGCAAAGAAGAATCTCAAATATTTTGATTTGTTTAACACAATTTTGGTTACTACATGATTCCATGTGTTATTTCATAGTTTTGATGTCTTCACTATTATTCTACAATGTAGAAAATAGTAAAAATAAAGAAAAACCCTTGAATGACCAGGTGTTCTAAAACTTTTTTTTGACCGGTAGTGTATGTCCCAAGGATCCCAGATAGCACTGCCCATCGGAGTACCTCCCCAACGATTTCTAGAACAAACACATTCTAACCGTTCTGATAGGTCCCAGAAACCAATAGGTTGGGCCAGAGCCAGAACACACGTGGGTAAAGCAGCGTTTGGAAAATGTGTAATTGGCTTTGATACTCTGATTGGTTAGAGATGACTTTGTTTTCTACAACACCCGTCATTTTGAGCGACCAATAATGGTAGTAGACACTCTTATCCAGAGCAACTTAGAGTATTGAGTACATACATTTTCATACTGGTCCCCCCCATGGGAATCGAACCCACAACCCTAGCATTGCAAGCACCATGGCTCTACCAACTGAGCTACATCATCCATCACAAGCCACTCGATGTCTCAATGTACTCAATTACTGTACTATGGATTGTTTTTCTTCATGGTGATGGAAAGTCTACTGGTACAAACCTAGATGACCAGCCTATTTACATATGTTTCCATGTTATGTGAAAATATTTAATTTGAGATCCTATTGGCCCGTCCTAGCATGCATCTGCATATTTCCGTTAGGGAATGCCTACTGTGTAAAATGCATGTGTGCAATAACTCAATTCGCCTTTGTACTCCTTCTAAACATCGCGATTTTTTTAAACTTTGGCAAAGGGTAAAGTCTACAAAACGTAGTCCACTCTGTTCATAGCAGATTCTAGTTTTGGGAACAGAAAACTGTACTGATATCAAATGTTTCATTGATGAGAACATTTGCAGAATGTCGGGCAAAATTAATCTCCTTCCATCTTCTCCCACTGCCGGCCACTGGGCTTCCTCTCACTACCATATTTGTGAGTGGAAACGCCAAGCGGATGCTTCACATTTATACATCCGGTGAAATATCTGTGTCATTGTTCTATCTGTGGTCGCACTATGCAGAAATCGCTCCGCCATTTCCTGGTTGCTAAAACGCCAATAATTCGCCTAATTTCAGTTTGTGACTAGAAAAATCTAGGATAGTGTAGAGAATTATTATTGTACCATTTAAACCGCTGTGAAGTATATTTTCTATAACCAAAAATATTGTTGTTTCAGCTGTTTGAAACCGAAAGTAAAAGATGCAAAAACAAAACGTAAGAATGGTAAGTATAGAATTACGACATAGAACAGTTCTACCGCTTCTTAGACTTGCTTTCAAGTAGAATGATAGATCTATAACTCACAGTTCTATGTAAATTTGCTCGGGTCGCCCAAAAAGTTACATATTGGCACTTTAACCGTGCCAGTTCCCAACGGAATAACAAGGCAATCAACCCATGACTCACGCCTACTCCTGAGTGGCGCAGTGGTCTAAGGCACTGCATCGCAGTGCAAAACTGTGCCACTAGATCCTGGTTCGAATCCAGGCTCTGTCGCAGCCGGCCGCGACCGGGAGACTCATGGGCGGCGCACAATTGGCCCAGCGTCGTCCAGGGTAGGGGAGGGAATGGCCGGCAGGGATGTAGCTCAGTTGATAGAGCATGGTGTTTGCAACGCCAGGGTTGTGGGTTCGATTCCCACAGGGGGCCAGTATAAAATAAATAAAAAATATGTAAGTCGCTCTGGATAAGAGCGTCTGCTAAATGACTAAAATGTAAAATGTAAAATGTACTCTACATACCTCCAACACAAATCTGCGAACTGCATTTATAACAGTTTATTTTACATTTGAGTCATTTAGCAGACGCTCTTATCCAGAGCGACTTACAGTTAGTGAGTGCATACATTCTTTTTTTCCCATACTGGTCTGCCGTAGGAAACGAACCCACAACCCTGGCGTTGCAAACGCCATGCTCTACCAACTGAGCTACACCGGACTATGTAATAAACCGAGTAGGCTACTTTACAGACGCATGTATAGCCTTGAGGGAAAAACGACTTGCATTGCGGCCAAGCATCACCCGAACATGTGTGTTTAATGTCTGCCTATCACACAATGACTATACACTTTTAAAAAGTAATAATGCATGTATGGTAAATACGCCTAGTTTGCTGTAGGCTATGAGATCTCAAATTGTTAGCTAGCCTAGAATTTGCAAAGACAACGTTGTAGAGACAAAACTATGAATAAGTGTATCGATGCAGTATTTGTAGCAACTCAATTTATCACAGATTCGTGTTTTATGTTCATAATTTCAACAAAACAATAGCCTACTCACTGTGGGTGCACCTCTTGAAAACTTCACCGTTTATAAATGGATTAGAAAGGAATGTGAGCGTCGCACTCCCACGGTCCACGACCACTATAGTTCTAAACAAAACGTCATTAAAAACAATTTATAAATGTAGTACTACTGTACCTGTCCAACTCGAAAAAACGTGTCATCTTCCAAACAACTAAGTATTATATATCGTGCATGTGTCCAGCAGAACAGTCGCGGAATTTCTCCGAGAAATTGTAGGCTAAATTGACTCCCTTTCGTGTAGACTACTTTTCCTACTCTTCCTCCTCAGTTAGCATAAATAACAGAGCCCCCCAATCTGTGCATGCTACGTCACTACAGGTGTGGTAGGGCGCGTTCCTCTGCCCAGGCGTTGCGGAAGCATACTAGATTTTACAACCCCTGTATAGGTATTTTAAGTATCAGCTAACCAGTATGAAAATGTATGCACGCACTAACTGTAAATCGCTCTGGATAAGAGCGTCTGCTAAATGACTAAAATGTAAAATGTATGTATTAGCAATCTGTCAGTGGATGACACAGTCTATGACTTGACACGTAACCGTTTGTGGATGCATGCAACGTCTGAGCAGGTGAACGCGACCTTAATCTGCTGTCAATACAGCGAGATTTGAACAATTTCAGAATAGTTTCCAGAGAAACATAGGTTAAGTATGAAGCCATTGCAATGTAACTGAATTGATAGATTATCCCTTTGAAATGGCATTTCATGTATTTGTCAGTGGATTAAATTGAGAGAAAAACAATTACAACATAATTTAAAGCTACAAATGTGCTTGTTTAGCCTACCATAAAATATGACCCACCAACAAACCAATAGGGCTTAGCCTACATTTTCACATACGCTCTTATCCAGAGCGACTTACAGTTAGTGAGTGCATTCATTTTTATACTGGCCCCCCGTAGGAAACGAACCCACAACCCTGGCGTTGCAAGCGCCAAGCTCTACAGGGGACTACAAGGTGCATTTCACTACATTTCCAAACTCAGATTTCACTTGAAATAGCGGTCTCTGTGCTAAAAGTCAACATTATTTATCTACCTGTTTTGAAGCTATCCATAATGTGTTTACAAATCTCTTATGGCAACCAAAACAATGGAGTAGATTCTCATTTTTGAGATTATGATAGGGAGGTATTATAATACTGTAAATTTACATTTAGCAGACGCTCTTATCCAGAGCGACTTACATTATCTTTTTTTTATTTTTCATACTGGCCCCCCGTGGGAATCGAACCCACAACCCTGGCGTTGCAAACGCCATGCTCTACCAACTGAGATAAATCACATTCTTATAACGTAAATGGATATTTGCATTAGTTGAAATGGCCAATGATCGACTGAAAATCGCACAGATTTTGATGGATTAGTAGGCCTACAGACCCTCATATAACCGCTATGGTCCTACAGCTCCAGGGGCCAACTCCAGGATAAAGGTCTCCCCTGTTCTGGTGAAGAGTTTGCTATGACGGGGGTGCCATCTAGTGTGTTTACAGCTATATTACATGTGCAAGGCAGTAGTAGAGAATCAACTGACAAAAATCTAAGATTGCAGTAAATTGAAAACACAAATGTTTTGAGCAAAGATTTATTTAATTCCATTTGACAGTCTGAAAATAGTTTTACATTAATGAAGCAATAATCTATGTAAGCAAGGCTGAGGACTGTAATATCATGTAATTTTGGAACAATGAAACAACAAGTATTGAGGGTTACTATATACAGTATTTATGTATAGAAAATCTTCTAATGGCAATGACGTTTACATAGTTTTAAATTTCAACATTAATATGGCATCCAATGAATTGAATATTTCCAAATGATTTCTCAACAAAGGACCATATACTTCATAATATATTATGTATGTAATGTATATGTTTGATACACTTGCAAAAATGTACACCCAAAATATATGAAGTACACCTACAGCACATTTTCTGACATTGAGGGGTTCCCATATATTTGTTATATACACATTCAGAAAGACACATCTGGCACATTTCTGAGGTCCAACAACTCTAGCCACAACAACTACAGTGCACAGTCTACCAACCTATAAAACCTACAATGTGTCTATGGTCATTTCTGAGAAAGATGATGCCCGAGTTACCTATAGTTTGGTCCCCTTGCAAAAAAACACAATTTGCCTAGATAAAAACCTGTAGGTGGATTGAAAATACAGTTATAGGAAAACAATGAGAAAGAATAGAAAGCCAACATTTTCCTGTGGTCCACATAATGGTATTATACACAGAGCAGCATAATTGAAGGAGTGTTTAATTTTAGCCTGAGAACACACACAGAATAAGGGCATCCATGAGGACTTGTGTTTCTCAGACACACACACAGAGGAAATAGAGAGCGAGAGGGAAAGAGAGGGTCGGGAAAGAGAGGGCAAGAGAGAAAGAGAGAGCACTCTAGTAAAGGGATCTGCTCATAAAATATTCACGTCCAAGGTTTACTGGGGCAAACCAGATATGGGTCACAGGACAGGAGTCACAGATGTATTTTTGGGACTTTTGCAACATTCAATGTGCTGGTTCGACTTCTGTTACAATTGTGCCCCTAATATTTTCCAGATCACTTTGAAAAACATGTTTGCTTGTTAAACTCTGAGATTTGCTAAATAGTCTTTTTTTCAAAGTTGCATGGATATTTCTTGGCATGGTTGTGAAATGTGGTCTGGGGTGTTCAATTCTCTTGGATAACAAGAGACATGCTTTTGTTTTGACAACACAGTAAATTATGACATCCATAAGACACAATACGCAAGACACAAACAATTCACCATGATCACAATAACTTAACATTTAATGACATTCATTGAAAATAAAAAAGGGTTATATGCTCAATATATTAATCATTCATTTAAGATACGTTACTTAAATTTCGTTTCCCAGAACTAACAAAATTAAACCCATTTTTAAAATGTTTATGGTTGCAGTTAAAAACCATATGATATTCATGCCCTCTGAAAAAATTAGAACATGTAAAGGAGGGACCTCTATCAATTTCCCATCTGTTTCAATAATATCTCTGTAGTTCAGATGGGCTCAGTGAGAAATAGCATCATTACGTAGAATGGCCTGATTCTATGTCTTTGTGCAATAAATTGAGATTATGATATATGCAGTCTAGAAAGGCCTGCTGTCACAGGAAAAAAAGTATTAAGCGTCTATCGGAGTCCAAAACGTGTATGCGTACGCACAGCAGTGTTCTAGCATATCGGACCGTTTGCTTTCATACTTTTCGAATTCTCAGCACAGCTCAAGCAATTTCTCCAACTATCAACACATTGAAATGAATAGAGGACGCGTACGGCGAGCCGCGTTAGTTGGGAATTATGGGGAGGTGCGCATTCGGGCTGTGTCGCCCACGCGGACGGTGGCCTCAGAGCCTCGTAGCTATGTCACAATGGGATGTTCGCGTCGCTGCGTCATTGCACTCTGAATTACGCTTTACTTGAGGTTTTGTTCAACAAGCTGTTGCTTATTACTGACACTTTCCATCCTAAAAGCAAACATACAGTAGCCTACAACAGTTTAGGTTAAGAGCTCAGTTATCAATGTAAGTAGTGGGTGCAGAAGATGCAGGGAAAACAGATCGTGGAAATGCACAAAATGACATTTAGGAAAAACTGTTGGACCTATCGCCATGACAGATGTAAATCACCACAGTCAAACATTACTTTTCCCATAATGCCCCACAAGACAGACCAACATTGAGCCAGGTTGTGCTAATGTATGGTAATGTGTGGGAATTTCCTACAAAGAGTAATGTTAAACAACGTGATGTAAAGTAAGATAGTGTATATGATTCATGACTTAGGGTCTTCATACAGTTGGGATACCTACATTTACATTTACATTTTAGTCATTTAGCAGACGCTCTTATCCAGAGCGACTTACAGGAGCAATTAGGGTTAAGTGCCTTGCTTAAGGGCACATCGACAGATTTTTCACCTACAGTTTTTAGCAAATGTTTTGACGGGACAAAAAGGGGGAGGTGTATCTATTTAACATGCTAATGTAGTCTTTTGAATCATCGCTAACATTGCACTACATACAGTTTGTTTCCACAGGATCTTAGTGCGGCCACTCCATTTCAGGATGGCTGAGCTGCAAAGCATGTTGGGAGGTGACATGGTCCTGCTTGTGGAGATTGGTTGGGGTGGGGTGTGAAGGGGGGGGGGGGGGGGATTGGGTTGGTGTGGGGTAGTGGTTGGTTGACAGTGAAGGTGCAGAGGGTTGGGGGCTAGGACCTGGGGGTGCCATGGAGAAGGGCTGTTTACTGTTTCGCTATGTCTCCTTTCTTTAGAATGATCTGCCGTTGCCATGGCGCCAGCTTGCTCTCGTCGTAACCCAGGGTCCGTAGTCGCTCCTGCTCCGTCTTCTCCTCGCTCTCCTTCTCCTTCTTTGCTCGCTCCTCCTCTTTTCTGAGTGCACCAATAAGAGGGAAGGAGAATACAAGGTGTCAGTGTGATTCAATGCTTCTGTGCCATAACAAGTGACTGTCGCCAGTAATACATTTAAGTCATTTAGCAGACGCTCTTATCCAGAGCGACTTACAGTTAGTGAGTGCATACATTTTTCATACTGCCCCCCCCCCCCCCCGTGGGAATCGAACCCACAACCCTTGCGTTGCAAACGCCATGCTCTACCAACTGAGCTACACGGGACTTCATTTCACAGTCCTGTTTCATCTGGTATTAACAAACAATTGCCTGATTCACACTATAGAGCCAACCCGAACCATACTGTGATGGCTCTCATATTGTCTTTTTACATTGTCCTTTCCAGCTCAGTTCCAGAATATATGGTAGATGTGTAAACAGGCCAGCCCAGTACAGCTCGCTCGGTTTGGCCCTCTTGTGTGAATAACAAAGTCACAATTAGCAGTCTTTATAGCTATCAATACACTCCTTGCCATGTTTGGAATAACACAGAGTACAAGGAGAGGCATTTAAGCACAAAACAGGTTCTGGATATCAGATAAGGTCACCATCAGACCTAGGTCAAAAACATAAGTCAAATTGAAGTATTTGAGGTGTGCTCGAATTAGCTGGGAGTTTGAACCTTTGGGACTATTCCATTGGAACAAATCAAGCACAGCTCAAGTATTTGACCCAGGTCTGGTAACAATGGATACTTTAGGTAATTCTGGTAACTACCTGGTAAACCAACGTTATGGTGTAATTTATAAATACAGTACCAGTCAAAAGTTTGGACACACCTACTCATTACAGGGTTTTTCTTTATTTTTAAT